TTTATGGTTTGTTTTATCGGATCTGCAAATCAAGTAATTTAGTTGGATTTACCTTGGAAAGTATGCATGTCATGTGAAATCAGTGCATGACGGCCATAACAAATATTCCTTCAGTTTTGCTTTCCCGTTCTTTGACGCATTATTCAAACCCCGTGAAGGCCCAGTTAAGAATTGGTCGTATAAAAAGGCGACTAACGGGATCGGGTGATCAGGCTCGCTGACATGGTTGACGCGCGTCATCGACGTAGATCGACACTCATGATATCAATCACTGGATTGTGTCGTCCAGACTCAATTATTTACAGAACATCGTCATATATCTTGAATATTGCTGTGTGCGGCGTTAAACAACATTAACCGAAAGCCACATTATGTGGAAAATTTTGATAGTGGAACGAAATGCAGTTGACAACGATATCTGTTTTGTGTACCCTGGTACTCGTACACAGCTTTGTTTAACGCCGCTTTGAAAAGAGTTTCAGCTACATCACGATGTGTCAGCTTGGTGTGGGAGGAAAGCAAAGATCGACGTTGACCATTTCCCTGAAACTCACCAGTATAGAGATCACAACTCATGACCAGCGGATCCTGAAGTGGTCGATGGACGCAACTCTGTACAGCGAATTGTAACCCCTGGATCTACAAGGACACCTGCAGCCCCAAAAGTCAACAATGAATAAAGGAAAACGTAGCCAACTTGATCTCATTAGACTTCTACATAGAAAAAAATCACTACATGCAAATTCATTCATTGAGTGGTTAATATATAAACCGCATCTTTTAAAGTGTCAGTGTACTTACTATATGAAACCAAGGGATTCCGGTTAGGAATATAGGTGGCGTTAAACAAACAAACTTGAATGTGACTTGGAATACAGAGCATGTGTTGATATCAAATTGACACTGTTTTGTTAACACAGGTTCATAAAAGCTAAGCGGAGAACCTGTATAAGGTCATGTTTTGACTGTTGACCCCACCGCCACTCTCGGCTTTAGTACAGGCAAAAACAGGAGAAAGTATACCATTTCAGTTATATCACGGCATGTCAGCTTGATCTTTGTGTGTTTGTTGTTTAACGCCGCACTCATCCATGTTCCAGCTATATGACATCGGTCTGTAAATAATCAACTCTGGACCAGACAACCCAGTGATTGACATCATGAACATCGATCTACGCAATCTGGGTACGATGACATGCATCAACCAGGTCAGCGTGCCTGACCACCCGATCCCGTTAGTCGCCTTTTACGGCAAGCATGGGTTGTTGAAGACCTATTCTAACCCGGATATTCACGGGTGGATCTTTGAGAGAGCGAGTGTATGTTGGTACACCTATATCACTACCAGTGTCGTTGCTACTAAGAGGCACAAAAAGCAAGTGCTTGCACTTTGAAGTCAGTACAAACAAAATAAAATAAAATTTGCTGAACTCGTAAACATATTAATGATGAGTATAAATCTAAAAATTGATGTTTTTTAAACAATTGCTTCTTTCTTTGTTAAACAGTCAAAATCAGACACCATGTCGACTGGTAATTACCAGCACTGTAAACTGTGAGTGCCTAACCTGTCGAGTCATTACGGGAGTAGTGAGTGAGTTGGGTTTAACGCCGCTTTTAACAGTATTCCAGTCATATCACGGCGTGTCGGCTTAATGTGGGAGGAAAGCCCGAAGTGATGCAGGTCTCAGGCGTTAACCACTTCGGTGAAACCAACGAGCACGGGTATGGTGCTGACAAACCTACAAACACAATCGGGGCGAACCGGGATTCGAACCCACAATCATAGGTTTCTTGCATGCCCAAGGGACGCAACTCTGCACAGCGAATATTGGCGCCTTAGACGACTGGGCCACCCGTGCCCCCCTCCATTAAAGGAAGTATGTCGTGTTACACTTGAACATCGGACACATGCAATGTCACTGGCCTTGACATTGTGAACTTGTGAAATAAAGGACCTAAAGTCTGAGTAAAATCGGCCAGTTTCTGAGAAACTTAGACGCTTATTACGAGATGAAGAGTATAGTTTAAATTTCCTTTTACAGACATTAGAGGTGGAAACCACAAATTTTATCCGAACAGCTATAGAAGAGCGTCTAAGGCGCCGCAATTCGCTGTGCAGAGTTGCGTCACTTGGACACGCCAGAAACCTATGTAGGTTCGAATCCCGGTTCGCTCCGATTATGTTTCTAGGTTTGTCAGCAGCATGCTCGTGTTTTTCACCGAAGTGGTAAGCGTCTAAGACCGGCATCACTTGGGCTTTCCTCCCACATTAAGCTGACACGCCGCGATATAACTGAAATACTGTTAAAAGCGGCGTTAAACACAACTCACTCACTCACTCCCTCTCCAATAGTTATTTACCTTTGAAAGGTGGTGTTATTTGTTTACTTTTTGTTTTTCGTGTCCATGACAACTAACAGGGTGTAGTATGTCAATATGTACATGATTGGGCAAATATGACCCTGATAAAGAGGCATATGAAACTCGAATCACATCAGTGTTTCTAATACAGTCTGAATACCTTCGTAATAGTCACTTAGACAAGATGATATTTTTGTCAATTGCCAGATGCTCACAAATTGAATGTTCAGTTCTAAAGATTTCCTCGAGACATTTGTACTAAATACAACAAACTCAAGGTTCAAAACGCAACTGGGAAACGTATCCAAACATCACCATCGAATAATTATTTTTTGTTTGTTTCATTTTTGTACAAAGAGGAAAACAAAACATTACAATCACGTGACACGTTGAGCACAAAAGGTAATGTAGCATTGCTTCTGCTCTGTATTTATTGATATATATTTTAAACTTTGACACCGTTAACACAGTGTTCACCCGTGCGACAGTGTGTCCTTCTTTCAGTCGTCTGTTAAAGTTTCCATGATCTTATTTCAGTCGGATATTATGCAAGCGTGGCCGGGAAATATATTCCACCGGCACACTCACGGTTCTGTGAAAGGTGATATCAGATGGGTGAATTTACAAAAAAAAGAGATAAAGGTCATATGGAGATTTCATTAACAATAAAGTCATGTGGTGTAAATCATAGATTTGAAAATTAGTTTTGTCATTACTCTATGTTTATTATCCCACCAATCACTGCGTGTCTGAGGATCGCTGGGCCCAGTAGTCCAAAGACGCCATTTGCAGAGTTGCCCCCCTTAGCACTGCCGGGATTCGGTTATTTGACGTCTCGGCGCTTACATCACCAGAACAATATGTTAAATTCAATGAAGTTTCTTTGTAGGGTTAACGTTTTATAGATGTGTTATCATTCTTCCCTAAATAACAATGGGTATTATGTTGAATAACCTACCTGATGCTGGGGATTAGGGATTATTTGTTGGGAATATATCCCTCACCAAAGAACTTACATCACGCATTCACACAGAACAGCTAATCTCATGTTACAATCTCCCACATATAATTGCCTATTTCTAAATCAGCATTGGCGGATTATCAGAACTCACGCATATTTCCTACTATTGGGAGATTTAAGGTCACTAAACTGCCGGCCAAAGGAAAGTATACCCTTGAAAATTGGATCTGACCCAGAAATTACAAACGTTATCAAAACGTTACTGATCATTACGAACTGGAATACCCGTATCAAATACATAATCATCGAGTAACATTTTATTAGTAGCCCTTGCCCCCTCTACACGCAGCCCAGACAGCGAAAGGGGCTTCTCCCCAGGAAGCGCTGCCTAGTCAAACCCACCCAGAACCTTTCTGAGAATGTGAAAACTCCCCAACACTGCGGCCTTCTGCATTACCCAGATTGTCAGAAGGGCTGTATTCCTGGTAGCAAACCCGGTACTCTCCCAATGTCAGTTAACAGATTGGGAGGTACCAAACCTGAGGCACCGAGAACAATGGGGAGTCGGACAATTTGGTCCTGCGGATGCTGGACACATTTCGTAAGTGAGGTCCGCATATTGGATGGGTTTTTTACCTGAATCTTGTCAATGACATTTGTTTCAAAAGGGACAGAGAATTCAATGATATTAATGATTTCATTGGACTTATCGAAAAGCACAAGGTCAGGTTTGTTGGCCTGGATAGGTCTGAGGCTGAAAAGGGCCTATTCCAAAGAATTTTCTAATTATCATTTTCCACGACGCCATCAACATATTCTAGCTCGTACCATGGATGGACCTCTGAGTCAGTTATTATTATCATTATTATTTCGTTTTCGATACACAAGTCATAGTAAACTCTTAATTAATTACTGAGTTCGCTCATTAGGTTTAGGGGCGGCGGGGTAGCCTAGTGGTTAATGCATTCGCTCGTCACGCCGAATACCCGGGTTCCATTTCCCACATGGGTACAATGTGTGAAGCCTATTTCTTATGTCCTTTGCCGTGATATTTCTGGAATATTGCTCAAAACGGCGTAAAACCATACTCACTCACTCATTTGGTTTCACCAGAAATAATTTTGTTTAGATGCTCTTAAACGTTATTTCGTGCATTTGGGGACAGTTTACGTTAGATTTTAATTGATATTGGTAATTTAATTATTATAATGTTTCATTTATCAATATATATACGAGGATTCCCCCAACACATTTTTCGACTTTCATTCAAGAAACATTTCTGACGACAAATGAAATTTAAAAATTAAAAACGAATCGATATTACTTTTGTGTTTTTACATGACTTTTCATTCTTGTGCGAAAAGAATCCGATTTTCAAGTTAGACAATAAATACATTGTTTGACCGTGTAGAGTCTGAATTAATAATTTACTGCATAGATGGTAAATTGAGGTTTACTTTTAAAATTTGTGCTTTTTTTAGTTGTAAGCAATTGCTTTCCTGCTGAAATGATAGTTTCGCCCCGGATCTCAAAGTCACGCACAATAAAGGAAAATATACTGGCGCTTCCCTCGATTTGCGACTCTTCAACACTGATCGTGCCTTGTCGGATTCAGAAGAAGCTCCTTACACTGTATGGACGCATGATAGCATAATCTCGTATAGCGACCGACCATTTATCTCCCCTGTGTGGAGCTAAGGGCTGTTTACTCCCTTGCAGGAAGTCAGTTGTCTACGTCAAAATGGAGGCCTCTTGCAACCACGACTTCAATGCTACCGCGGAGGATGAACTTAGCTTCGGAAAAAACTCCGTCATCAAGGTAGGGTGCCTTATCGAGTCAAGACAAATCATTTGTAAATCAAAAACTTATTTCAGGGTTCCTATGAATGGATATGGTGACTTTTAAGGGTATCTTGACTCACTTCCTGGTCGAATGATTTTGTCTCAGTCAATGTATCAAATCTGCGTAGAATTTGTGTCACGTAAAATATCACATCCGCTCCAAGAGGGGCACGTCCTTGTGATTGTTTTTTATAAATAGTGTCCCAAGGAACCGTTTTGATTAAATAGATCACTACTGTCATTGATGTTAACCGATAATTGTTGACTTAAAGTTCAGAATAAGTTTCAGTTTCATAATATTACACATCATTGAAGTATTTAGGCCTGAATATAGACATAATGCAACATACGAGTCGGCGTCATCATTTGTCATGGTATTGCGTGTATTTCCTGTTCGTTGTGTTTATCTGTCTCATACGATTATTTTGCCATTGTAGAACTGGGGTATAAACCCCTAACTGGTGTATATACCCCTAAAGTTTAACATTTTTGATATGTGTTTCCATTTAACTGATAAAGTTGCACAGTGTATCCAGATTTTTATCATGCTTAGATAATTATCATGTTATCAACTCATTTACACAAATGTTACACATGCAGTCAACAACACAGGACCATGTAACTAATATTCTATACAAACAAACTCACAGTCGAGGTTAGACTAACATTTAGTCTCTGAAATCTTATATTACACAATATCCTTCTTGACTCTAAAAATAAAATAAATTCCCTATGCTGATTTCATGTGGAATAGAGCTAGCTTGAGCTGGCTAGACTTGCTTTTGTATGCATTTCTAGATTATTATTTTTTCATAAAATAAATATATTCCACAGTCATGGTGCAGGACTTAGTCGAGGTCTTCATCCACAATAATGATATACAAGGTTAGGCCATATTCTTTTCCACGTTTTGTAGGAAAACTTGCCAGCATAATTGCCAATCAGTTAGTGATGTACCAAACTTTCTTGACTATTATGTAATATTAGAGAACAATAATAGACAGCACAGAACAGAAAATTATTATTGAAATATCTATTATCTTAGATCTTGTGTTAGATGTTTGTATAAAATATTAAATTACCTGTCATATCATATTTTTCTTGTGAATGATTGAGTGGTAAAATGATGGAGGTTCTCATATTGGTTACATGTGGATTTGAAGCAGGTTGAACTTAAATGTGATTAATGTAATCAATGTTGTGAGCCCTTTATGCTCCTTCTAGAATATCTGCGTCCATTTCTGTGTGTGATTTGGTATTTGTCATGTGTGCTAAGATGACAAAACAGGGGATCACATTCATTCTTTGAAACTGAAAGTTATATTATTAAAAACATAAATATTTCCTCACATCTTCCACCAAAATGGATGATAATCTTATCTCATATTTGGTTTATCAGTGACTACATGCACACACACAGAGGTACGCATAGTGAACCGTGATGTAAGCTGTCATTATGTATTCTTTTCTAAATGGGTCGGAATGTGAAACAAAATATTTCAATAAGTGTATTTCTTTTGGATTTATCAATAATGAAACAAATTAATATCTTCCTTGTACAACTAACCTACAGAATAATATTTCTTGTATTCACTGCTGTTTGTCACTGTATTACCTCCCTTGATTAAGCGTTGCTGTAGTATGGAGCTGTTTTGGCTCTTTGACGATGATGAAGGGCAGTTTGAAACTTGAAGAAAACATAACAGTATGTTAATGGCAATATCTTGCAATATGTATCACAATATGTATCACAATACAGACTATTGCAATATATCGGAAATATTGCAATACTAAATACCAGGCAATACACCACCCTAGTTAATTGTAACAGTGGGTGTGATATTACTAGTACAGTACATCAGTTTCTGGAACTAGATTTACTGATGACAAAACCAAAGTGTACTGGGGGAGGTGTTATAAAGGTGGATGTCCAAACGGGATCAATGAAGAAAGTACACAGTAATTCCATAGCTCTGAGACTAACCCACCATCCAGCTCCCCATTTCCATCTACCCACAACCACCCCCACACAAACATCTACCCACAACCACCCCCACACAAACATCTACCCACACACCCATCTACCCACACACTTAGCATGCTTAGTCATGTTGTTGATAAATTTAGAATACAACATTGGCACTGAACAAGCTTACAGCCTAAACACAGTTGTGTTTCTTTCAAATTTACCTAAGTTCATCCCCTCATCTACTGTCACCTTCCTGAGGCAAGGGAGTTCACTGACTTTAAAAGTCCAGTTACCACCCTTGCCGAACTAGGCTGGAATTCCTGGGCTCGATTGTAGCGCCACCGGTGGTTATTATGAGTTATGTCCCTTTTGAGCCTCTCCTATGGACCAATCCGATTCCATCACTTGCATTTGTTTTAAACAAAATGGCGGCCCCAGTCAAGATGAGAGGATTGATAATCAAGATCTATATTGTGATAAAACGGGTCTTACATCGCGAAGTGCATCAAATCACGCGAGCACCTTGATTAAAAACATGAAAAGGTTTGCAAAATATCTGTTGACAACGAGTTGGCGGTGCACATGCTTTGCAAATCCTGCATTCGACCGAAATCTGCACGACAGTTTACGAACCTGATTTCGATTTCGTTGCGAGATTTTGATTGGTCTATGCATAGACTCGTTAGTCCAGCCAAACAGTAACTCCATAATACCAGCCTAGTTCGGCAAGGGTGGAAACTGGACTTTTATTGTCAGTTAACTCTCTAGCCTCGGGAAGATGTTTACTGTGGAAGCACACTACTACTACTACTACTACTACTACTACTACTTATCATGCTTATAGGCCATTTATGTTGTGCATATTTCCAAACCACACAGGGGCATCCTCAAAGTGTTATTACTTCCCTGGTCACTCGACAGTCATTCTCAGCTCCCTGGGGAGTATACAACCCAAGCTGCCTGTCAGGCACAAGAAGGTTAACAGCCACATTGCCATCTCATCCTACCAGATTAACAGATGCACATTTCGAACAAAGTCACTTGCCCAAGGAGACACAACATGTGTTACATGTGCTTCAGTGTGGGATGGTAGATATTGGCACAATGCTAATTTAAGCTGATGGATAATGTATCACTATGATAAGCATGTCATCAGTCTTGATCTCATTATTGGATCAATGGTCTTTTCATGATTTATTCTGACTTTGATGCTTGTGATGTATTAATGTCAATTACAAGTGCAGGATAAGGAAACTACTAGGGTAACCATGGTAACTCGGGGACTTGGATCGGGTGGATCCTGAGTAGGACCTGGGTAGCCTTAGGACTACCCGGACCCATGGTTAGTCATGTGATATTTTAAGGACACAATGAGTCGCTAAATGTTTGCATTTCTTTCTGACTGTGCAAGCATTCCTTCTGACTTTTATTTGTTGAGTAAAGATATACATGATATAGCTTCTGTCAACTTCAGTGTATGCATTATCAGATCGTTTTCTGCAGCTTTTGACAGGACTCCTGCAATAGTTAAGACCTAGGCAGGGTCGGGTGATAGGGTGTTGGGTACCTGGGCAGGGTCGGGTAATAGTGTGTCGGGTACCTAGGTAGGGTCAGGTAATAGGGTGTCGGGTACCCGGGTAGGGTTGGGTAAGAGGGTGTCGGGTACCGAGGTTGAATGATAGGGTGTCGGGTACCCGGGTAGGGTTGGGTAATAGGGTGTCGGGTACCTAGGTAGGGTCGGGTAAGAGGGTGTTGGGTACCTGGGTAGGGTCGAGTAATAGGGTGTTGGGTACCTAGGTAGGGTCGGGTACCCCGGAAGGGTTGGGTGATAGGGTGTTGGGTACCCGGGTAGGGTCGAGTAATAGGGTGTTGGGTACCCAGATATGGTCGGGTAATAGGATGTTGAGTACCCGGGTAGTAAATTTGGATTCGTACCAGCCCTAGAAACCATTTGTTGTGTTAAGTGTAGTAGTTGCACGTCACGCCAAAGACCCGGGTGCGATTCCCAACATTTCTTGTGTCCCCTGCCATGATATTGCTGGAATATTGCTATAAACTGTGTAAAACCATACTCGCTCACTCATGGAGTTAGCATGGCCTTATGCATGTTATGTAAATTGACCTCCTTGATAAGCCACATAAACAAGAGGTCACTCTGACTGTTCACAGTCCCAAAACACATTTAGAAAGTGATTGCAATAGTAAAGTTAGGAAATGGAACAGAATCTTATGTGACACATATGTCGTAAGTTTGAGATGAATTTCACTCTAACTTGTCCAAGGTTGTCTCTTTGGACAAGATAGTTTTCAATTCCTCTATGCCAAGTGAGTCTAAACAAAATTACTTTATGATATATGGAGAATTTGAAACGTCAGAAATATGAAAGATATTAATCAAGGTATTAATCATGTAATAAGGCTGTTGGCTAGGACCGTACTAGAAAATCCTCAGATTTATTTTCAGAACCAGTTCATCAACTGATGCTGAACAATATCAATAGAAATAGGAAGACATGGATCACATTATTGGAGATGTGTTGTCACCACCAGCGTGTTCTGTACAGAGTCTCTAGACACTGCTTATTGCTGTCTTTGATATCAAATATATCGACACAAGTCGATAAAACTTTTTAAACTCCCAAGGGTTTCAGTTTAAAACTTTTTTCAAATTTATTATTTTAACTCCTCTGAAAGCCTCTGAGTTAAAAAAGTTTAATTGCCTTGTGTCGATATATTTAATATCAAAAGACACAAGGGTGAGATTCTATTTATCATCCAAAATCATTCTTCCAACTTTTTCCGCTTGTAACCAGTAATAACCAGAGTAAAGTATAAAGGTATAGCCAACCTGTAGTCTGTCTTACAGACCCTGATACAAATATATATCAAATATAGCCCATGCAAGTCTATGATGTTTGGCAAGTCTAGATTACTGCAGTATCTGAAACTGAAGAGAGTCTCTGGGCTCCCTTTTATTATGTTTTTATTAAGATAATTGAACAACTGTTTTTTCTCTACGATATGTTCATTTCAGAGACTCGATGTTAGTCTAGCCAACCAGCTTCAGTGGCAGAGAGATTAGTGATGATTTTTCCCCAAAATTTGCCTGCCAAGGGCATTTAGTTTCAATCCTAGATATCTCCCTGTGCAATGTTGTTAGCAGACACACAAAGGTGGGTTTTGAATGACTTGAATCTATACTACTCAAGGGAAGTTAAAGAACTAAAGACTATAGTTAATCTGTCATGACCATGTCTTCAACTTCTTTTGAGTAGTATATATATAATACTTGGACTGCCGATTTGTCTGAACCAAATCCCTCTTTAACTCTGCATGAATATAACAATTAACATGTATAAACTTAATAGAATATGAAAAATTCCAATGAAAATTGATCATGTTGATTTAATATTTTTAATCATGGTAACTATTTTCAACATGATAATCCTAATAATATTTGTAGCAATGTTCAGTTTTGTTACCCGATCTGCTTCCATATTTCAATCAGTCAACAGTCAACATGGTCAATGACAGTTTTAGATTTGATTATGTAGATACAGGTCAAGTTCAATAATCCGCCAAATCCATCACTCCGGGTAACAAGGTCAGCGGTCATGCACACATGGACTTAAACTGTCGTGATAGTGTTTCACAGCTGCCAGCTGCAGCTGATTAATTACATCAAATTCAATTAGTAAACATGGTAAACATGGTAAACATGTCATATGTAATCAGGGCTGGTTTCGTAACACAAACTAGCCTAATTGGTAAGTGTGGGTCTTCTTGACAGTTGTCAACCAGTGATGGATTTGAGAGAAGCTCTTAAGAACTGCTTGTGTGTAAAAGTGTGTCAGGTCCAATCCATCAATGACAGATTACTTGATCTAGGGTGGTTTTTCATGTGTTTGATGTCCTGTGTTGCAATAAACATGATTTATTTTGGGGAGGAGTAATTCATTGAATTTAGGGTTGGTTAACATTGTTACACTGTCCAGTTGTAAAAAAATCTCTCTGAGTATCTCTCTGTACAGTATACAGGTGTAGGGGCTGGGATGAGTCCAAATTTACTACCCAGCTACCCATGCTACTATTACCTGACCCTACCAGGGTACCAGCTATAGGTCTCAAGAGTTGGGTACAAAATGTCCGATTGGGAATAGTTTGACTGTAGCCCTGGTAAAATGTATTTAGATACATGTATAAAATGATCTGGTCATGCATACATTGAATTTGACTGAAGTTTTATCTTTATTCAAACCTACACATGTACAAAGGTCAGAAGGTTTGGGTGCATAGTCAGAAAGAAATGCAAACATGAGTGTCTTGTAGTGTAACCATAGAGTCCTATTTTGTTTTTGTCATTAAAAAATATATGACGTGACTAACCACGGCTCAGGGTGGTCCTGTGGGTACCCGGGTCCTACTCAGGACCCACCTGACTAGAGTACCAGAGTTACCCATCCCAGCCTTAACCATGCTAACAGGTATATCACATTATGTTCTTTACATTCCTTTGTATGTCTTCAAAAAATAAGTCTGTTATTGAAAAGCTTCAATTCTTTGTCCATGAAGCTCTAAATGTAGGGCAGCAGTTCCTGTCTTAACAGGTTACTTGTATGTAACATGACATAAACTGCAATGGGATTTCCTCAATGAAAGTGTACAATAATTATTGATATCCTATACATGTACGAACCTCATCTCTGATAGATGTTATACTATAATATTCTTGTGTATATGGGCCAGTGGCCTCAAGTACAAATTTTGTTTACATAGTTTATTTCAAACACATCATCATGATAATTATTATGATTATTGCATACACTACTGTTATATACGCTCAGAGTTATCTGAATATTGTCATTGACCATTTGATCAACAGCTGACCATGGTAGCTGTGATTGGGAAAGACATTGTCTTCATGGCATTTCATGTTTATGAAATTATGGCCATTTTGGGCAAGTATGGGCCATAAATTTCACTTCATTCTTATCGTCACATGGAACAACTTATCGGTATGAAAACGAGGTTATTAATACAGTAAACTATGGTTATAACAAACTCAAAGGGAGCTCTAATTCTAGTTTGTTATAACCATAGTTCATTATAGTGAGTGAGTGAGTGAATACGGTTTTACGCCGCTTTTAGCAATATTCCAGCAATATCACGGCGGGGGACACCAGAAATGGGCTTCACACATTGTACCCATGTCGGAAATCAAACCCGGGTCTTCGGCGTGACGAGCGAACGCTTCAACCACTAGGCTACCCAACCGCCCCTCATTATAAGCATATAGACAGCATGTAGACAGCATATAGACAGCATATGTCCAGGACCTAAAGAACGGTTCAGTATATCTGTTAATATGTTATAATCATGTTTATTATATACATAGTTTACTGTATTTATTTTTGTGTGTCAATATTAGGTATATCAGGGTACGATTTCACTCTGCTTTACCACCTGCACCAGGTGCAACCAAGTAAATTAATCAGGTTGCACCACCAAAATATTGGCTGCACCATTTTATTAATTGAAACACTGTATTTTCAGTTATTTTGGATATTAAATAAATTCAGAGGGAAAACAAACTTTAGCATGTGCACCCATATTTATTTTGGGTAAATCTGTATATTGCTTTCCACATCATAATATCCAGAAAACAACTTAAAAAAGAGGTTTCAAAGTGTCTGTTTGATGTGATTGTAACCTTATGAGTGACTGTTCTAGTGGTAATTGTGAAGAATTAGTTCTGCAAGTTCACTGCATTCAGACCTGCTGATTCACTAATTTCAAGGTCTCTTTTTTTCTGGATTCAAAAAGATTTGCAGCCAGTTCTAAAAGAATTCAGTTTTCCACTTTTTATCAAATATAACTGCTGCTGTGCACTTGTGGTGGGAAATGTTACCTGCACTGGGTGCAACATGGCAATAACAGTTACCTGCACTAGCAATGTTTTACCTGCACTGGTGCAGCCTCACACACCCACCAGTATGACAAGGACTTTTTCCAAGAACAGGACTAGCCAATCAGCATGATCAGATTTGATTGTTGTGAAATGATAAGGATGTACATCATGTTTCCATGGTTTCCAGGTGTTAAACATGGATGAGGACAAGAACTGGTACAAGGCCGAGTACGGAGGGAAAGAGGGCTACGTCCCTGCAAACTACATCACCCTGAAACCCAACAGGTAGGTCGTCTTTACCCCCAGACCCATCGTCCCGAGGCAGGAGAGTCCATTAGCCAATATCAAAGTCTAGTGTTCGCCCTTGACTTTTCAAGCCAACTTTTCATTGATTGATCGTGATGCCACCCTGTGTAGAGCTCTAGTTTTGACCATTGTAAAGAAAATGCGATAGCCTATCAGATTGCTGTTCTTATTTCGAATGGCTTCACAAGAATAATGACTGACATAGCAGATGACCTAGTTAATCAGATAGTGAAGAGTTTCGAGATTTTAGCCCTGACACAAAAATAGAATGACTGATTATCACTGTAAGGATACTTATTACTGCCGCATGTCACTCCAAACTTCATTGTATTTAAACTCAAATCTCTATTATTGTAAAATGCCTGCCTGCCGTGGTTGGTAAGTTTTTTCTTGGGCTGCATAAAGCTTCCTCTATCTGCCCGACTATCTGGCAGATGTTTTAAGGCTGCTTACGTTTTCAGTTTTATCATAACTCCTTGTAGATTCTCAAGTAACTTTTTGCATTATTTCAACTGAATCAAGATTGTTATATTTTGCAAATTTTCAACGTTTATAATGTCGGAATGCGACAACTTATTTATGGGTCACCTGCTTGACTGTCTTGTTGGGTTTTATGTTTATTCCTAACACGATAACTTACAATCATAGAGGCTCATGGTATTACAGTATCAATACCTGCACATTGCTGTAACATGGAATGCTTAGCATGGGTTGTCTAATAATAGAACTACATCTGAGGAACTACGATAAGAGTTTAATGGTTTGAGTTAAAATACAATGAAGTTTGCTGTCTAATATATAAAAGGCTGTAAGTACTTGGGTGAGTTTCAACTTGTCATCATTCACTGACATCACGCATACATGACTTCTACTGCAGTGAATAATGCATCAGAAAGCTGCTATGTCTGCTTGTTGTTAGTCAGTTTATGCGACGTGTTGCACACTTGGGGCAGCACATGAACTGATACAAATTAGAAGTTACCTGAAACATTTTTAGCAGAATTATTTATAAAAAGTGTCTGCTCACACTCATTGTTGTGAAGATCCCCATAACACTGGACCCAAGGGAGTAAAATTATCCTGTTTATCTAAAAGAAACTGTCACTACCCAATTTGAATATTATGTTACTCATTGATAAAAAATGTTCCGTGTCTTCCAGTAAGTTAAAGTTTAACCCTCATTTGACCTTTGCACATTGACTATGTGCCGATATTTCTCAAGATGCATTTCCTCGCACACTAAACAAACCATTGACACCATTGAACAAATGAAACCTCTCATCCTCAGACACCATTGAACCAATGAAACCTCTCCTCCTCTAACACCATTGAACCAATGAAACCTCTCCTCCTCTGACACCATTTGACAAATGAAACCTCTACTCCTCAGACACCATTTGACAAATGAAACCTCTCCTTCTCAGACACCATTGAACCAATGAAACCTCTACTCCTCAGACACCATTTGACAAATGAAACCTCTCCTTCTCAGACACCCTTGAACCAATGAAACCTCTCCTCCTCTGACACCATTGAACAAATGAAACCTCTACTCCTCAGACACCATTTGACAAATGAAACCTCTCCTCCTCTGACACCATTGAACAAATGAAACCTCTCCTTCTCAGACACCATTGAACCAATGAAACCTCTCCTCCTCTGACACCATTGAACAAATGAAACCTCTACTCCTCAGACACCATTGAACAATTGAAACCTCTACTCCTCAGACACCATTAAACAAATGAAACCTCTCATACACCATTGAACAAATGAAACCTCTCCTCCTTAGACACCATTGAACAAATGAAACCTCGCAGTCATTCAAAAACCTACTCATGGTCATTAGTCATTTTAGTTCACAATGTGATGACATTTTGTGGATGTGTAGATACTAGTGCGAGTCATGTGTTCAGTTTCTGCGGACTTTTGCACTTTGACCATACTTAAAACGGAACTTCATTTTACTAAACAGCCATGTTTGTCCAACATATAATGCAAGTTGTTATATGTGTAGTAAGGAGAGGTCTCCTCACACATGTTCTGATTTTCCCCATATTTCAATTTTGAATGTATTTGATCTTTGCACCTCGACCTTGGTTAAAGCTGATACGGCTTTTGTTATAATTATCCAGCCATTTTTGTTCCAAATTAAGGATTGAGTATGTATTTTTCCCCAGTTCATTGAGGTATGAATAAAAAAAACGATGTGTGATCTGTATGAACTGTGTTTCCTTGTTAGTATGCTTGATACTGAAAAATAGCACTAATCTGTGACCAGGCCTGATAACATCATGACGATACAGGTGAGCAGAAAGGGAATTCCCTTGACTGTAATTGGGATTCCCCGACATTCCACAGTGATGAAAATAGTCCATTTCAGAGGGCGTGGCTTCATTTTTTTCTTCCATTGGGAAATGAACGCCACAAATCGTGACCCAAGTCAGCTTTTCTGAATGCAAGAATTACAATAACACAATGAAAATTTAAATACCTGGGGTATACTGTAATGAAATTTGGTATATGTATAGTTAGCATGGTTTGTGGTTCTCAACCCATTATGTTCCAATTTTACATTATTTTAAATTTTGGCCTTTTATCAGCATATGAATAGTTTATGACCATGCTCTTGTGTTCTATCAAAATGCTTATTTGGATCTGTAAACGTCTTCTCTGAAATTGCCAGACTGAAGAAGCTGACTCTTTAATCTTTTGATTACATCATATTTTGTTCCAGTCATTAGATTTTAGTGCTCGTTTTAGTCCTCATTATTGCAGAACATATTTGGTTTATAAATGCTGACAGCAACTTTTGTTGAATTGTTAAATATCTATCTTTATTGACATTTCAAACTGTTGAAGTAAGACAAGTTCTATCGATGAACAACTTCCTTATTACAATTAGTGCGACGTTTCGGTGTAGATCCTAACACCTTTATCAAGCAGGTGAAACAGTTCATTTGTTTGTTTATTGTTTAACGCAGTACAGTTTTAAACTGTTGACTAAGTATCCAGTTGAGCTACAGTGCTGTGGCACTATTTTCAGAGCTCGAGATAAGCTGCTTATTTGTGTAATATATGCTTTAAATAAACTGAAATACGCAGACAAATCAAATCCCAGGATATCAAATAAGCAACAAAAACTATAAATACGCCATTAAAATATACTTAATGGGTATATTACAACCATAAGATAAAACGATTGTGTATATTACAACTGTTAGATAAAATGATTGTGTATCAGTTGATCGCGAAATTCACTTACCAACAGTTACATTCAGAGAAAGCTTGTGCGACAAACATACTAGATGCCAATTGAAAAGCGTATTGTGCATAGTCAATGTACATATGGTATCTTAAACAGTCACTGATTGGTGATTAAAAAAATAGTGCCATTCTTACAGTGCTAGTTTTTGCAAATAAAAATGGAGAGGGAGACGCAAGCAGACGCAGATCTATAGCTCTGATTTTTTCTTTATTCTGCAACTGAAGGGGTTCCAGTTGTTAGAAGTAGAATATGTGTTAGTGCTGATAGTGATGCTTGCGATGACATTAAACTGTTGAACATGACCAGTCACGGTTTTATGAACATATTTCTCATATTTATCTCATTTTCAATGTCAAAACTATGTTCATTTCAGCTGGTACATTGGCAGTATTTCACGCTTGGAAGCAGAAAGGAAATTATTGCCTTCCTACCAACCAGATGGGGCTTTCCTTGTGCGCAACAGTGAAAGTGCTCCAGGAGAATTTTCAATTTCTGTCAAGTAAGTCATGGAAACCCCAAAACTTGTTTAACTGATGTCACAGGGTGCAGGTCACCTTCATGAAGATCCGGGTTAGAATTGGTCTTCAGCAAGCCATGCTTGTCCCCATGAAGATCCGGGTTAGAATTGGTCTTCAGCAAGCCATGCTTGTCCCCTTGAAGATCCGGGTTAGAATTGGTCTTCAGCAAGCCATGCTTGTCCCCATGAAGATCCGGGTTAGAATTGGTCTTCAGTGAGCCATGCTTGTCCCCATGAAGATCCGGGTTAGAATTGGTCTTCAGTAAGCCATGCTTGTCCCCATGAAGTTCCGGGTTAGAATTGGTCTTCAGTAAGCCATGCTTGTCCCCATGAAGATCCGGGTTAGAATTGGTCTTCAGTAAGCCATGCTTGTCCCCATGAAGATCCGGGTTAGAATTGGTCTTCAGCAAGCCATGCTTGTCCCCTTGAAGATCCGGGTTAGAATTGGTCTTCAGCAAGCCATGCTTGTCCCCTTGAAGATCCGGGTTAGAATTGGTCTTCGGTCGACCATTCTTGTCGTACGATGCGACTAACAGTATTGGGTGGTCAGGCTTGCTGATTGGCTTGCCAATTGCGTAGATCTATGCTCATGATATCAATCACTGGATTGTTTTGACCCGACTCTGGTATTTACAGACCGCCGTCATATAGCTGGAATATTGCTGAGTGCGGCGTTAACCCGGATAATGGCACACTCAGCAATATTCCAGCTATATGACGCCAGTCTGTAAACAATTGAGTCTGGACCAGACAATCCAGTGATTGAAATCATGAGCATCGATCTTCATATTTTGGATACAATGACATGCATCAACCAAGTCAGCAAGCCTGACCACCCAATCCCGTTTGTCGCCTTTTACGGCAAGCATGGGTTGCTGAAGACCTATTCTAACCCGGATAATGGCACACTCAGCAATATTCCAGCTATATGACGCCAGTCTGGAAACAACTGAGTCTGGACCAGACAATCCAGTGATTGAAATCATGAGCATCGATCTACATATTTTGGATACGATGACATGCATCAACCAAGTCAGCAAGCCTGACCACCCAATCCTGTTGGTCGCCTCTTACAACAAGCGCAGTCTGCTACTTGAACTATCTGTCTAAAACAAAAGACTTGTATAATTTCTATCTGACATGTCCAGCAACATCAGCTAAAGATAGCCCTTATTTTATACTACTAGCCTTTTTTTGTACTACTAGTCTTACTTTTTTCTACTGGAACTGATGTCAAATAACTTTGCTAGTTGACTCACAGGTTTCGGCACAACCTGTTGTTCAGTATTATATGGTATTGTACATGTTGTAAGTGTCATTACATGTATCAACTGGGGCAATCTCATTAAAATCAGATCTTTGTACTTGCTACTGCTAAACAAAGATCTGAGGACATCCCATTAGCGGTCACGTCAGAACGACCTTTCATCCGACCAATCAGAACGTCGTTTACCAGATCATGAAAGTGACAGTCGGAATGTGTTTTCTAATTAAACAATTACGAAATATTTAACACGAGGTATTCCGAATGACAGTTACGGGTTTTATGATTATACCCATACAATCTAGGCCATATATAAGCCATTCCAGAGTGTTCTTGTTATCAGTTTTAATTTTTTTAAATCGAGAATACGTCAAAATATGTTTCGAAGTGTAGTCGTCAGTTTGAAACTAGTGTTGTAAAGCTCGAGAAAGCTGCCTTCTGATTGGCTAATGTCAATTTCTTGTCAGAAATTTCATTGGTCGGTCAAAATTCGCGAAAGGTCGTTCTGTCTTGACCCGTAATGGAATGTCCTCAGATCTTAGTTTAGTGGTTGCGAGAACTATGATCTGATTTTAATGAGATTGCAACTGGGGCAGCGATGCAGCCTGGTGGTAAGGGCTTGTCACCCTCATCACATCGTTTTTGTTGACCCTATGATATTGCTGGAAAATTGCTAAAACTAGTAAAAGCGGAGTAAAATCATACTCACTCACTCACTCACTCTTGTAACAGACAGTCTAAGATGACACAATTTCCTTCGGAGAGTTGCACCTTTTGTTGAACAAGTAACCTATGATTCTGGGTTGGATTCCAAGATTTGCTCTGGTTATGTTTCTTGGTTTGTCAGCACCATACCTGCGCTCATGGGTTTCACCAAAGTGGTAAATGTCAAAGACCTGCATCACTTGGAGCTTTCCTCCTGACATGCCGTGATGCAACTGAAATAACGTTCAAAACAGCGTTAAATCCCTCACACAACCAGTCAATTGTTTCCATTTTTCTGCTGCTTCAGATTCCAAGAAAACGTTCAGCATTTTAAGGTCTTGCGTGACGGATCAGGAAAGTATTTTATGTGGGTAGTGAAATTCAACTCTCTCAATGACCTTATCACCTACCATCGCACAGCATCAGTGAGCCGAGGACAGACAATTTACCTGAAGGACATGGTGGATGCCAACAAAGAAGTAGGTCATTTCTTTATTATATGTATTCTACTCCACTTCTGATAGGGACATTTTTATCTTACCAAGATACACAAAAACGATTTTCATAATGTGTCAAGTGTATATTCAAATATATCTGACTAACCCTATCGAAATCATTTTGGAGTGGTATTTTTGCAGTATCAAAAGTGTCATGTCATCTCTGCTCCTGTTACCATGGTTACAGGTTTATAGACTGTATAGTAATTATTCCTTCCTTTGAGAAACAACCTGAGCATGCTGAACATTAATAATTGATATAAGTTGTGTTGCTGTTGCTCATGCTATTAGCCTATGGTTTGTATGCTCAAGCCCAATGACAACCTGATTAATCATGTAACTGTATTTGCGACGTGAGGTGGTCGGGTAGCCTGGTGGTTAAAGCGTTTGCTCGTCACGCCGAAGACCCGGGTTCGATCTCCGACATGGGTCCAATGTGTGAAGCCCATATCTGGTGTCCCCTACCTTGATATTGCTGGAATTTTGCTATAAGCAGCGTAAAACCATACTCACTATTTGCAACAAGCCAGTATGCTAGGGCCACCCTTCACAGGAGAGTTACCTCCTTTAGGGAAATACACTAACCATGGTAACAGTATTGTGTGATGCTCATGCTGTCAGTTACTGGTTTGTCTGTGACAACTTGCTGTGCCAGTTAGGCTAAAAAATAAAAATAAAATGTTTCTCAGGCATCTGAGAATCACTTTACACTCTGTGCATCTGTCGTTTTTTATTGCAAATGAAACAAAATATTTTTCAAATTTCCTGGATTATATGACATGATTTTATGAAGCATAGGTCTGTAATCCACAAAATAATACTCACATTGTATGTAAGAACCAAGTGTTCCCACTTGTTTTGTTGGTGTTCTTGGTAGAAAAAATAAAAAGTGTTCCTTGTAGACCATGTTTACAGTGATAGGATCAATGAAGATGAAGATGCTTTTAACCTTGATTTTACATTATTACATTGAAAGAGACCCGTGAAGAATAGGTCTTCAGCAACCCATGCTTGCCGTAAAAGGCGACTATGCTTGTGGTAAGAGGCGACTAACGGGATCGGGTGGTCAGGCTCACTGATTTGGTTGCATCGTATCCCAATTGCGTGGATCGATGCTCATGATGTCAATCACTGGATTGTCTGGTCCAGACTCGATTATTTACAGATCGCTGTCATATAGCTGGAATATTGCTGAGTGCGGCGTAAAACAACAAACAAACAAACATTGAAAGAATGACTAAAATACCTCTGTAATGAAGAAAATAATAAGTTAAAATAATCGAAATTTTGCCCCCAACTTACCAGTACCTGCCAAAGGGACTAGGTTTGGAATGCCAGATAAATCTCTGTAGATATAGGTACCATAAATCATCCTTACTTGTTTCTGATTCCAGATCTTTGTCAAGGCATTGTTTGATTTTTCCCCCCAAGAAGACGAGGAACTGCCACTAAGCAGGGGCGATACGGTCAAACTGGTACAGAAGGTGGACAAAGACTGGTGGAAGGGAGAGAAGGATGGCAAGACAGGATTGTTCCCTGCGTCATACGTCCAGGAATAAGAGGAACTCTCGCGAAGAGTTGACAAATTTGACATTGGAGCTCAGTGCGGTTTGTGACATCAGTTTGCAGGACATTGTGGTGTAACGAAAGACGCTCTGTTTAGATCACGCTCCTTGGTCAACCGATGCCATTGTTCAACCTCGAGACCACACACCTGATCAGTAGAGGGGATGTTTGACTATTTACCCATATTCTCCTTATATGTCATTGTCATTGGGTACTGTAGAAGGATTGTCATACTTTGTTTAAATGGTCGATATTGATTTTTACAACAAAACAAAAAAAAAGAAGAAAAATACTATAGAGGCTTGTGAAGTCATGTTATCTGGTTCCGCTGCTGTTACAGGTAGAGATACAGGTAGAGATGAGTTGTAATACATAAGCTGAACATATTGAGATGTGCCTGGTTGATCAGTGTTGATAGGATGTAGTGATAGGGATGATGATGAAAATATGTCTGTATGTAAGGCGTGTAACGATTGGTTCAAATCATTAGTTCATACGGAGATGTGTCTGTATGTTAGGGATGTAACGATTGGTTCAAATCACTAGTTCATACTGAGATGTGTCTGTATACAGGTTAGGGGTGTAACGATCGGTTCAAATCAGTACATCTGAACACTCATGTTTAACAAAACAGTTCATACTAAGATATGTCTGAATGTTAGGGTTCAACAATATGGTTCGTATTGAGATGCACATGAACAAAAGTGTATGTACCATATTGTGATACTTGTATTGCAGTATGTACCATATTGTGATCCTTGTGTTGCAGTATGTACCATATTGTGATCCTTGTATTGCAGTATGTACCATATCGTGATCCTTGTATTGCAGTATGTACCATATTGTGATCCTTGTATTGCAGTATGTACCATATTGTGATCCTTGTGTTGCAGTATGTACCATATTGTGATCCTTGTGTTGCAGTATGTACCATATTGTGATCAGTGATGATCCTTGTATTGCAGTATGTACCATATTGTGATTCTTGTGTTGCAGTATGTACCATATTGTGATCCTTGTATTGCAGTATGTACCATATTGTGATCCTTGTATTGCAGTATGTACCATATTGTGATCCTTGTATTGCAGTATGTACCATATTGTGATCCTTGTATTGCAGTATGTACCATAGTGTACATGGTTGCCATGGTTACACCTATTCAACAAAAAACTGATACAGACTGAGAAAAGGAGCAACTATTATGATCATTGTTCTGTTTTCCATGCTTATTGTATATGATTATTATGATTATGTCTTTGAGATCCAGGAATTGTGCCGTCACCTATCATTTTTGGCCCGTATGTGTATTTGTTTGTATATGTTGTGTAGGTTAAAGTCAGGTTTGCGAGAACAATCTTTCCTGCTCATCTTGCATGTCTAAAAAGTTATTTCTGCCATACCACACACATCAGGTGGGTTCAGTAGTGTCCAAATGGGGTTAAGAGTCTTCTTGAAAAGCATAAAATTTGAAAATACTTTGAAAAGCACTTTAACAAAGTTGAATAAATGTAATAATTAAGGCTTGGATCATGATCATGCTATTTTTAAAAAGTAAAATTAAAAAAAAATACTTTGTAAGGCCCAATGAATTAGGATAAAGAGCTTGGAAAATCCTTGAACTTTTTTTAAAAACAGGCTTTTCAACTTCCAAATGATTAATGCAGTTCACAGAAACATGTTTTCTTCTCAAATGTTTGTGAAAGTACACCATATCCTTCATTAACATATTAAAGTATGATTGGAGGTGAATGTATTTTGACATAAAGACGTGTTTTGTGTTCATCTTTTGGAGTAAAAAATATATGATGTATTCTACCCTTGGTACTCAGAATTCTAGAATAATCCTAACTACTACTTTGTAGCTATAGTGTAGAGTGAGTGACAGTGAATGAAAGATGACATGTAGATGTAGGACTGTCATGGTTCACTGAACTAACGGTACATCACAACACTTCGTCGCAGTACACATTGGGGGCACGGGTGGCCCAGTTGTCTAAAGACGCCGTGATTCGCTGTGCAGAGTTGCGTCCCTTGGGCACGCCAGAAATCTATGATTGTGGGTTCGAATCCCAGTTCGCCCCGATTATGTTTCCAGGTTTGTCAGCACCATAACCGTGCTCATGGGTTTCACCGAAGTGGTAAACGTCTGAAACCTGCATCACTTCGGGCTTTCCTCCCACATTAAGCTGACACGCACGATATAACTGTAATACTGTTAAAAGCGGCGTTAAACCCAACTCACTCACTCACGCATTACACATTTATGTCAATCGGTCATTTGTTAATTTAAGACTGTGTTCCTCATCCCCCGAAGGAAAGTAATTGGTTCCTTTTTTTAGTGTTTGGACAAGAGTGATTATTACAGTATACAATGCTCCACCATATCAACAGGCAGTTATGCATTGATGACAAAGCATGTTTTTTCTTGACTCACTCATTTCAACAAGTGGCTCAGTCATCTAAGATGTCGTGGGGCGGTTGGGTAGCCAAACCGATAAAGTGTTGGCTTTTCACCCGGGGTCGGCCCAGAGTCGATTCCCAACATGGGTACCATGTGTGAAGCCCATTTCTGGTGTCTCCCTGCTGTGATATTGCTGGAATATTGCTAAAAGCGGGGCAAAACCATACTCACTCACTCTAAGGTGTCTCAATTTGCTCTGCAGAGTTGTTTCTCTTAGGAATGCCGACACCAATGATTGTGGGTTCAAATCCCGCGTTTGGTCTGGTGATGCTTCTAGGTTTGTGCACCAGAGTGGTAAACTTCTAAGACCTGCGTCACTTTGGTGGGCTTTCCTCCCACATCAAGCTGACTTGTTGTGATAGAACTAAATTGTTGTTCAAATCACGTTTAATCGAACTCCTTCACTCACAGATTGTGTTTGAGAGTACCTTATCTTGCATCTTACTGCGATGTAGTATAGTGATGTACCATCGTCCGGGATGCAGTGCATCTTTGCAGTTCTAACCATGCTAACCTCACCATCTGTTACGTAGACAGTAGACTGACATGAGTCACCTCTGTCGTAGTCTGTGGAGACTTCATATTGAAGGTCTTGGTGAGGTCATTTCATGATAAAGAATGACTCTTTGTGCTAAGAAAGTTGATAAATAAGATGTATATTCAATGGAACATACAGGGATGTACAAGTGGCATTTTGTTTGAGAAGTATTCTGGAGGAGATTGGGAAATATGATTGTTTTGGTTACCATGGTTACTAGCTAATCAGCATTAAGACATCTATATTGTTGATGTAAATATTGTGGACAGCTGTTGTCATGGGCTCCTATAGATGGGGAACAAGATCGTTATGATCCTGCATGACAAAGGATAGGAACATTACTAATACGGAGACATATATGTTATGTTTGTTGTTTAATGGCGTACTCGGCAATATTCCAGCCATATGAAGGCGGCGGGTAACAATCAAGTCTGGACCAGGCAATAAGGGCTGGAATGAGTCCAAATTTACTACCCAGGTATCCAACACCCTATTACCTGGCCCTACTCTCACGAGTTGGGTACAAAATATCCAAATACCCGGTAGGAATTGTGTTTCCGCAGCCCTGGCAAAAACTATTTAGATATGTAAAAAGATCTGATCATGCATAGATGCTTTGTCCTTACTCGTACATATTAAATTCAGAATGAATGCTTGCATAGTCAGAAAGATATGCGAACATTAGTGACTTGTAGTGTAACCATGGAGTTTTATTTTTTGTTAATGTCATTAAACAGTATATCACGTGACTAACCATGGGTCCAGGTAGTTGTGTGGTACCTGGGTCCTACTCAGGACCCAGCCGATCAAGTTGCTGTCCCAGCCCTACAGGCAATCCAGTGATATACTATCAACAAAGTCACAAAGTTGGACCACCCGATCCATTGGTTGCCCCTTTTTACCAGCAATGGTTGCTGGAGACCAATTCTGACCTGGAATCCCCACTGGGCACATCCATCTTGTGATGTACGTGCATGACTTTCTCATCAGTTTTTAACTTTTTGTAATTTAAAAAAACAGATATAGGGCTTTTCTTATTTCGTAAGTTAGTTTTTCTGAACCACAGTGTCATCTGGTCATTAGTAAATAAAATTGATAAAACTGGAAATGAAAAAAGGTATGTAAGAAAAAAGAGTCACCTGAGCAAGAACCGTCAGGTTGAACTGGATTAAAACCAGACTGTATTTTGCTGCAGAGTATCGGCCTGTGTATCACCATGTGTAGTCATGGTGATTGTATGTATATTTGTCATAGGCACAATACTCAAGGTGACCAAGCCAGGCAGAGAGTCTTACAAAATGTACAATATTAGATTTCCTTGGCACATTTCATTCCACTGCTAGAAGGTTACTAATCTCAGCATGTATATAGAAGACCTAACTTCTTGTGTGTAATGGACCCGGCTTTAGCTGTTTGGTATGGATTATGCTCGTGTCACTATCACATCTTTTAAGACTACATGATTGACTGTTCAAGTGATCGTTATTTTGGCCTTTGACAAGTTATACATGTTAAGAAGAAATGTAGTATCCAGTATGGCAGGCTAATTGTGAATACGATGATGATGATGATGATGATGATGCAGGCTAATTGTGAATACGATGATGATGATGATGATGATGATGTCTGATGATGTCTGATGTGACTTTGGCATAACATATGCATGAAATAAAGTTTTGTAAATTAGGATCGGTAGTTTACAGATACAGAGCATTTTACCTGCTGCTCAAAATAAGTTAAGGACCAACTGATTCTTTCATATTACTTTAGTTAATCAGAAATATGAAAGAATTGGGTGGTTGTTCCACTTTTTTTTAGTAGTATATTTGGGGAGCATTCTGTTTGAATTTGGCGAATTGGTTGTAACATTTCCTCAATCACTGAAACTTTCAGGTAAGGATAACAACATGTACCACTCAGCTTCAACAACCCGGAAACCAGGTATTATTGTCTCAGCTTGTCCAATGTGTTATTTTGAACCAGGCATGACTTAGGGTCACTCACAATAGGTTTTAACTTCTTGTTTCTTAACAATGTTCAGTAAGTGTTAATTATCTAGATTGTAGAACAGTTTGCACCTCGACATTGCAATTGAGCATGAGGAAGAGATGTTGAGCCTTCGTCTCAACATCCTCATTCTGTTCAACAGCAGCAACTTCGCTGATTGAAACTGAACAGGAGCTGATGAACCTGATAGCGGATTATAAGGGACAAATATGATGGCAGGAAGTCTACTTTCGTTTGAGACTTATCAAGCCGGCTTGTACAGTCAGTTAAATTGAGCCATTACAGTGAGAGATTTTATTACTTATTACAAATCGTTTATTAAAATATAATCTTTTTTATCTCATATCAAGTCTGACTTATTTCATGAATAAAATTGACTTCAAAATTGGTCAAAATAATTTTTCTTTTTTATAAATTTGACCGCAAGCACTATGGTTTGGAAAACTATGATAATTAACCCGGTAGTACTAGAATCAATTGCAGAATTGTGTGAAAAATGGCATTGATGTGAGTGTTATGTACAAAGGATCACAGCTCAATTTGCCGAGATTAAACCTTCATAGGTCAACATTCCTTGTTGAAATGTTACCATGGTTACCAGTGATGTTATCTGCTTGTTATGCAGCTTTGGAGACATATGTGTACAGAGTTGACCATTGTTAAATGTTACGGACAACTCCAAGTTGAATTTTCACGAGTTGTTGATGCAGGGGAAAAACACACCTTTTTTGTCATGACTTTTTTTCCTTCTGAATAAGAGAATTGGTTAAAGGGAACAATCCGACATGTGATATTGCTGACCAAACATGGAGATCATGAAGATATCGGTAGCGGCAGAATGTAGAGGAAGTGAAGTGAATCAGCTGACTTACCGTATTCGACATAAGCGCTCTCAAAACTAGAAATAGGGGGCTCTTATTAGAATGTTATTTTAGTGAAAAAAACAGAGTTTAAAGATAAATTTTGTGCTTTATGCTGACAGCATGAAATGTTTAAGTATGACAGATATATTTTTCCAGAATTAAATGCCCATAATCAAGGATGCACGAGTGTGTATTATACGCGAATAAATAAGTCTTCTGTACATTGATTAATTGGAAGGGGTGCTAATTGGGATTGTTCACTAGCCAATATCTTTGCAAATGTTGCCGTGGGTGCTTATTATGTTGCATACGGTAGTCAGTGGGTCAGACCAGCACTATTGCGTTTGACTTGATCATGTTGATGAGAAACAGTGACATCATCTGAAGTTTTGACATAACCAGGTGTAGTATAGTTATCGTAAGCAGAGTTGCATCCCTTTACCATGACAGGATCTGCTGATCTTGGATTCAAATCCTGACTATGGTCTTTAGTGTGTCAGCTCCTCATCTGTGTGTCTTCCCCAAACTTTTCAATTTCTTTTACCAAGACACTTTTGGCATTCCTAACCTATTAAGGTTACAAACATTGTTATAACTAAAGAATCGTTTAAAGAGATACTCACTTTTGACAGATAAGTGGTGTTGGATACGTGGTCTTGAAGAATTGATCAAGCTTATCGGGTCAACTCTTTGAAACCACTATTTGGGACCTTGATATCTAGGAATTCTTCAAGACATCCTGAAAAAGTGCTACATTTATATTTACATAAATGATACTGAAACAAGGAATCTGTCAGTATCTGATCTTACATTGATGTCACAGACAATTGGATTTCCGTGTATGACACAATAGTGCTTGACTGCATGCCGGTACCCCTCCTCACAGACACAGGAATGAGAATAGATATTTGTTTTGTACCTGACACATCTTTGCAATGGAGCGTGGTCAATAATCGGGGGGTGTTTAGGGAGGAAGCCATAAAATTCTAACAAATTTGTGGTCACTAAAATTCATGGAAATTCACAGATCCGCAGAAGATTCTCATCTCTGCAAACAGCCCTCATTTCTTGAATCGCGCGTCGGTGTAGGGAGGCTGGTGATTTAGGTATTTACACTACATTTAATAATGACAGCGAGAGAAACAATCTATGCTACTCAAAAGACGTTAAAGCACACACAATTTCTTCATATGACTATAGTTAAGCTGTCATAGTCATATCTAAAATATCCTAATAAAAATCATGACGTAACAGATTACCTATAGTCAAATGTAAAGAATTGGTGTTCAACTTCTTTTGAGTAGTATATTTGTCTTCATTTTAGGCTCCTTTTTCTAAAATTTTGTACAATGACTTGAATCTCCAATTCTTAAAATAGTTGTTTATCTGCAGCTGATGATATGGCTGACTGTGTGTCATGTGGACGTGCCTAGCCAATCAGTTGGTAGCATATCTTGCCCAATCAAAACTCCATTCATATTTGTGATATCAGTTCACAATTCATTGGCTGTACAATAAGATGAAGATGGTTGCATTATTGTGTCGACTCCAAGGGGTTCAGTCTTGTAATGATCTGTTGAAACTCATCAATAATGTGATGATAAATGAGTAAATTTATGTCAAAATTATAATAATTCTCATCATGAATCTGTTGATACATATGTGATGATGCATTATGACTAAACCAAAGAATAAACTAAAGGGAAACCGTAGTTGCAATTCATGTTGTTCTGATGATCCAATATCGTGTCACCCTCTTACCATGCTTAGAGTTCACATGTTCTTTTGAGAACAAGTTGTTTGTGTAAATGGTTGATAAACTTGTCTGATTATATGTCAATAGATTATGTGACCTGAATACAGTTGAACCTCTTATATCCAGATTTGTGCACATCATAAGTATGAACTAAAAAAACAAAAAAAAATAATTCAGATTAACAAGACATTGTGTTTTAAAGAAAATTATTTTGTGTGTGACCTTTTAGAAGTTGTGATTTCCACCATGTCCACAATAGCAAGATCTGTTTTACCAAGGTTCCATTGTATTCAGCATCACAACTAGAAATTATTGATTTGATCATTAATTATTGATTTAAGTGTCCTCATTATCTTTGTATTGTGTTTGCCAACTGTTGCAGACTGTTGATCAGTTTGTGTTTAAATGTGTATTGTACAGTCCCCGCTGTATTCCGTGTTTTGCAGTTTCCGAATATTTTGCACAAATGTACCTATCTTGCAGAAAATCGCTTTTTGTGCAGAACTCATGCAGAAGTTTGCCTATATCAGCTGCAGAATTCGACAAATACACTGCAGAAGTTTAACATGTGAGTAAAAGCTGGTTTTAAACGTGTAAACGTGATTTTGTTTTTGAAGTGAAATTGACTTTGGTTCATTGCATGTCTGTATGTTCACACCAGTGATCTCCAGATTCACATCCATAAGCTATTCTTGCCGTGGATAAGTTTATCATAAAAATGCCCGCCACAAGTCAACCAGGTGCAAAACTACGACATTCACAAAATCTTAGCTTAAAGGTTTGCAGAATTGTATGCAGAATTATTAAAATTTGGTTGCATAATTTACTCATTTTGACTGCAGAATTTAGATATTTTTTTGCCATGGAATACAGCAGGGACTGACTGTGACTATGACAGAGGCAGAACTCTGAATATTCCCACACACTTTGTACAAATACAGCCCCATTGTCAGTGATGATTGTGGAGGGTAAAAGCCCTTGATAAGCATCAGATGAACATGATGAACATGATACTGTCTGTGTGGACAATGTGGTTGTATTGCATTTGTACTATTAGTGTGTCCCCTGTGATGTGAATTTGCTATGGGTGATGGACAGTGTTAAGTCTGTTCACTCACTCACTCACTCCATTGAAATATGAATTCTTACATGTCTTGTTGTTCTCATTTACTTGCTATCAGTGTTCATAGTAAAACAGTTATTTAACTGTTGAAACAAGTAGCTCATTTGTCAGCAGTGTTGAAAGATGCAGAATTTCTAAGGCTGTGCAATGTTTGTGTAGAGTTGCCTCCCTTACCCAGGCCAGGATCTGGGTAAAGTGTTAAATAGGAAGTCTATCTGCCACATTAATCTGACATGCTATGAGATAACTAAGTACTGTTACATCCAGCTCACTCACTCACTCACAAATACTGTCCCTCACTCATATAGCCTAAGATCAGTATTTGACAAAACGCTGTATTCATGTAGCTTTGTCTGTGCTGCTAAAGTGACAGTTTTTAGCAAATTTATGGCATGACTTAACTATTCCTTGCTTACTCTAAACACTTACCGGTATTGCTTAACACTGGGAGGTAGGTGGGGTAGCCTAGTGGTTAAAGTATTGGCTCAGAGGTCCAAGGCTCGATTCCACACTGGGTGCAAAGGGTAAGCCCTTCTGTGTGTCCTATATGCCTGGGCCCACTTGTACAAAGCCATCTTAGCGTTAAGCCTATGTTAAAGTATGGGAGTTACGATATCAGCGCTAAGATCGCTTTGTGCATGTGGGCCCTGGAATATTGTTAAGGTGTGACTTTAAACCGAACTTGCTCTTCACATCAGATCATCATTGCATAAAGTAATATTTGTCTGCAGTGTTGATATATGTTTTGTACCATGCAAAGTTGTCAGCATTGGACGTTTTGCTCATTTTGTCTGATAGGCCTGCCCATGCGTTCCAGTGTTGTGGAGGATATAGAGCTGTGTCATCCTCTCCTTCTGTTGTGTAGACCCGACTTGTTCTGTCTGGTTTGTTCTCCCTCATGTGGCTATTTCAGCCTGTGAATGATGGTTGCTTTTGAAGTCATCTTCAGTACATCATAATCCTAAATTTTCATACAACTGTGATGTTTTTCTTATGAGGATGGATTCTGAACGAAACATTGTACTGTTTGAGTTTATGAATTTATGATTTGCTTGCTTTCTTTAAAAATGTTAAAATTTGAAAATTGACTTCTTACAAAGAATAATTATAACTTGCTTAAGGTTTCAAGGGCCAGTTTTTTTTAGAACTGTAAAAAAAAAAGAATTATTCCGTTTCAGTTCAAAATAGCTGCCTATTTTGTAAATATTTTTGACAGGTATTTTACCCCATCAAATTGAAACATTTTTGTAATTTTATCATTGTGTCCAGGAGAGACGAGTTCATCATGTCAATATATTCCACTTTTGTAATGAGGAGGTTTAAATTTCTTTGTTTCCCAAATGGTGTCAGATATTTGGGTTGACGAAATTGACATGATCAAACCTTTTCATTCTTCACACAGAAAGTTTGCTTTTTCAATATTAAACCTGTCGCCTTAATGCTCTGATTATACAAGACTTAGTATAAGTTGTGTCCTCAAGAAACTGGCTTACTGATTATACAAGACTTAGTATAAGTTGTGTCCTCAAGAAACTGGCTTACTCAATGTCACTAAGTTAGTGCCCTGCTTATGTCTATATTGATTTATTGCTAGTATTTCTGCACCTGAGATAAACAGGCATGGACTTAACGTCACTATAAGAGGATACAGAGAGACATTAAATATATATATATATATATTACTCAAAGTTAAAGAACACCCAATTCTTTCATCATGTTCATATGAGAGTTAATTTGTCATGACATGACAGATTAATCATAAGGAAGAGAATATATGGATGTCAACTTCTTTATTATGAGGAACACATTTGCAGTATATGCTTACTCCTTCATCACCAGACATGAAAGAATTGGGTGTTCTTTAACTTCTTTTGAGTAGTATGTATGATATAAGAACGTGGAATTGTCCTGCAATATTGACATGTTAGAATGAATCAAAGTAAAGAGAAAATACCCACCTGTAGTGATGAGGCTTTGTCCACGTGACAGCATCTTTGAAGGTATCATTGAACTTCATCCTGAAGCCTGTCCTTTACTGCTATTAGTGTGATCAGAAGTACTGTTATAACAATACTGGGCTTTCGTGTGTTAAATAAGAAATGATTTCAATATTACCAATACGTTGTTCCAGTTGAATATGCTGAATAATTGTACTTGACTAATAGTAACAATAACAGAAGCTACTGCTTTTACTGAGCTTGTACAATTATTTGCACTGTATATAATACTTGAAGTATTATACTCTATTAACTTGGGTGAGTGATCTTAATTGAAACCCTTCTAATCCGGACGATATGATTTCCCAGAGAAATCGTCCAGATGAACATGTTTCCAGAGTAACAAATGAATGTTCCTGTAAACTTGATGTAAATGTTCCCAAGAGTTATCGCATGGAGTACAGGGAGTTCTGGATTTTATGGGTTCTGGAATAACCAAATTTCACTGTGTATATGAATTCATTATCACACTAACACAACACTAACACTATAAATAACTTGCCTTTAAGCAAATATGCTTCTTTTCTGAAAAAGGGTAATTGATGGCATCATTATCTTGTAGAAATTTATAGAAAGTTTCCTTGGACTTTGTGAAGAAACCTTTGCCAAAATATAAATAGATTCTTTTTTTCCAAAATATTGAACCCGCTAGAGGGGGGTGCGCATTATACTCAAGAAAATATGGTACCTGAAAAGTTAGATAGGGTTTCATTCTTATTACCATGGAAACAATGTTGGCAATAGAAACCTGGGGTGGTGGGGTAGCCTAGTGGTTAAAGAGTTCGCTAGACCAGGGTTCAATTCCCCACTTCGGTACAATGTGTGAAGCCCATTTCTGGTGTCCTCTCTAACGTGAAAATGCAGGAATATTGCTAAAAGTGGTGTAAAATCCAACTCACTCACTAACTTAATAGAGACTGCTTGTGAGTAATTTGTAAATTAAATAGATCCATTGATGCCACTGTAGTATGAATGTACCATGTTGCTGATGAAATATATATGGGAATATGATATCAATCTCTTGTGGACCATCTTTGACATGAGTTCAACACTGCTGAAGTATATCGACATGTTTGTTGACAGTTTTGGAGTAAAGGTATATTATATATGTCCTGGGTCCTGCATGTCCTGCAGTACAATGGTAGCCTCTGTGATGTGCCAATGTTAAGGGACTGACCATATAGCATCCTGGGAAATTGAGGGGTTTGAGACTGAAAGCAAAAACTATTTTCTTTGAAAGGAACTAAATAATAAGAACGTCCAGCATGTAAAGTGTAACAAAAATTACAATTATTTTATTTTATTTTATTTTTTTATTTCTCACCCCTATGCCCCCCAACCTGCTAATATCAAGTAGTCAGTCCCTAATTTACCCCCAAATGTGTAGTCAGGAGTGATTTATACCTCATGCCCACCATACTTACTGCAGTCTTATCTACGCTTGTGTCAAGTCTATTGTAAGATATGATGGCTCGGGAATGCATTCTGTATTAGGGGACTTTTGGATTTAGACATTACCCTATGTGTTTTTCAGCGACTAGTGTACAATGCTAACAGGATTACCTACATGCAGTGTGTGTTGGCCGTAGTCATTGCAGTGTACAGGCTGTGTTCCTGTTGCCAATGTCCGCCAGCATACAAGAGCCCGTATTTTTATATATTGTGCGTTTATATGACAGTTCTCACTGTAACCGTAGCTGTCATTTTGATATATACATGCTTACATCATTTGGCTCCGACGTAGATAATTTTAGTGTGTGCGTATCAGAGGTTTATCTGTACAATAAATTGTATACATACTTTATTTGTGAGTTGTTGTTTTGGGGCAGTTTGTGGTGGGTGATGGAGTGAGTGAGTGAGATGGAGTGAGTGTTTCTTTGTTTGTTTAACGCAGCACTCAGAAATATTCCAGCTATATGACGGCGGTCTGTAAATAAGCGAGTCTGGACCAGTCAATCCAGTGATTGATATCATGAGCATCGATCCACACAATTGGAATGATGACATGCATCAACCAAGTCAGTAAGTCTGGCGACCCGATCCTGTTAAAGGCGACGGAGTGGGTGAGTGACATTATTTAATGCCAAAGTCTGATAAGCCTGTAAGTCGAGTTTGAACCAGGCAAACCAGTGATTGACAGCATGAGCACTTATCCACGAGGGCAGCAAGACAGGCTGCACCTTTTTACTACCAGCAGCGGAGCTGGGCACCCGAGGTGCTCCACCAGAAATATTTCCCAGGATAATACAGTGCATGTTATCTCCATTGCATTAGGATAAAAACTGTGGACCTGTGTGCAACCATAGCTCAAATGGCGTCCAGAGGTCTAGTTCCAGCAGCCATACAGTTACTGTCGAGCATTATGAGGTCGGAGATTGGAAATCTCCTAAGACCTGCAATGTGGGCTTTCTTCCAATATTGTTATTCTTGGTCTCAGCAGCATTCCGGTATTCGTGGTTCCACCCAATTTGGAAATGTCTACCTCGATCACTTCAGGCTGTCCCCCACCTTTTGCTGACATTGTCATCAACTGAAACACTGTTAGAAGCCATCCTTTTCCCCCGATCTCTCCCATCTGTGGCGGGCGTTAGGGTAGCCTAGTGGTTAAAGTGTTCGGTCATCATGCTGATGACCCGGGCTCAATTCCCCACATGCGTACAATGTACATCTCCAAAATGTTGAAGAGGCAGGAGAGATTTCGCACGATAATACAGTGCATGATATCTCCATTGCATTAGGATAAATACTGTGGACATATACGTGCAACCATAGCTCAAATGGTGTCCAGAGATCTAGTTCCAGCAGCCATACAGTTACTGTCGAGCATTATGAGGTTGGAGATTGGAAAGACCGAGGTGGTCATGCCACCTGATAAAACCAAGCAATGGTGGTCAGTGGATCCAGGGTATTTATCAACACAGAATGCGAACATAATGCTCTGGATAATCGAGGCTGACTTCTGTCTTGTGTTATGTGTGACTCCTACATCCTACAGGATTTCAGTTAAACTAAAGTCAACTAAAGTGAAGGAGATCCTGAACTGACCGGTCGTAGACATTTCCAATGTAAGACACTGGATCACTAAGGTTTGGTTGGCTGGTTGGTTGGTTAGTTGTTTTACGCCGCTCTCAGCAATATTCCAGCTACATGACGGCGGTCTGTTAATAATCGAGTCTGGACTAGACAATCCAGTGATTGATATCATGGGCATCGACCCACGCAATTGGGATCGATGACATGCGTCAACCAAGTCAGCGATGCCGTTAGTCGCCTCTTACGACAAGCATAGTCGCCTTTTACGACAAGACTGGGTTGCTGAAGACCTATTTTACCTCGGATCTTCACGGGTCGGATCAGTTAGACGATGGGATGACTTTGGAATGTCTTGTAGTCCGTCATGGTCATCCATCGTCCATACCGTTTTATGTAATTGTATTGGATCAATAGCTTGCTGTGATGATGTCAAAAGGACTTGATGGGTGATCTGCAGAAAAACAAACTCGTAACCCTTCGTTTGGTCTTGAGTCAACTGGTACAGATAGGTAACTCTCAACCGATTTATTGTGTTCAGTGAGGAGATAACTGTGATGTTCACTTTGGTGATTAATCCTTGATTACATGCCAACACATTGTTAATCCTTTATGGGTTCTGAGCAGTGCATTATGGATGTGTGATCGGGTAGAACGCCACATTCACAGCGGTGCTTCTTGCCTTCAGACAGATGGAGAGATGTTTGTCCATTTGGTACACACTTGATGCCATCCACAGGATCGTGGAACTCACAAGCTGCAAATACAATGGGGTTAAATTGAGATAATTTAAATAGTGTGTTAAATCTTAAAGGTGTGAGTAGTTGTTCATCCCCTGTTCTTTGATCACTAAATTGATACAGCTCCCTTCTGCTTCAACTATTCTACTATGCTTTCTCCTTCCCCAACTGATGACTTTCTCCCCCCATTCTCCACAACTATCAGATGATTTCCCCTATCCGACTTCTTCAGATTTCTGATTATCCGTTTCCCTAACTATCAGATCTCTTCCTCTCTTAATCCCCTCCTTTCTTTTTTTACTTCCCCTCTTTCTATCTCCACTCCCTTCCTCTCATTTATCTGCCTCTCTCCACTATCCCCACCCCTCCATATTTTCTCTTTCTCTCTGTTTTGCTCTTCTAATCTACCCGTCTTTTCCATCTCCGCTTTGGTCTCTCCGTCTTTCACTCTACCTCTCACTTTCTTCTCTTCATCTCACCAAATTATCCTCTCCATCTTTCTCGACGTCTCTCTTCCCTGTACATCTCTTTTCATTCTCTTCATGTCTCTACTCTCCTCAGCTCCCTATGTTTCTCCCCCCCCCTCTCCCTTCCCCTCTCCCTGTTTTCACCAATCGCCATGTTTCCCAATGATCCCATTTTCGCCAAGTACATTATATGTCCTGGCATTGAATGAATCTAACTAACTTTCCATGCAACATACACGCCAATGTGTCCAAAACAGCTTTATTACTGCAGATGACAGAAGCACTGATTATCCACCCACCTGTTGTAATTGTCAGATCGGCGTTACAGGTGAGACAGTCATGAGTTGTGCCCACATCCAGACATGCACCATCATGGTTCAACATGCAGCCTACAACATAAGCACGATAATCATTATATAGCATACAGCCTACAGGTATAGCCTAGATCAGGTAACACACATCCTACATCATACAACATACAGTTTACGGTATATAACACACAGTCTATGTACGGGTCTGTCCCCACAACATAGAACCTACATCGTTCGGCCCACAGACTGCAGATATAACCTACAACATGCATCCCATAACATACAACATGTAGCCTACAACGTTCGTCCCACAGCATCAACCCTTCAGCATACAACATACAACATGTAGCCTACAACATACGCCCTACATCATAAACCCTTCAACACACAACATACAACATGTAACCAATAACATAGGTCCTACAGCATAAACCCTTCAACACACAACATACAACATGTAGCCTACAACATAAGTCCTACAGCATAAACCCTTTAGCATAAAACATACAATATGTAGCCTACAATATACGTCCTACAGCAAACACCCTTCAACATACAACATGTAGCCTACAACATACGTCCTACAGCATAAACCCTTCAACACACAACATACACCATGTAGCCTTCAACATACGTCCTACAGCATAAACCCTTCAACACACAACATACAACATGTAGCCTACAACATACGTCCCACAGCATAAACCCTTCAACACATAACATACAACACGTAGCCTACAACATAAGTCCTACAGCATAAACCCTTCAGCATACAACATACAATATGTAGCCTACAAGATGCGTCCCATAGCAGAAACCCTTCAACACACAACAGACAACATATTGCCTATAACATACGTCCCACAACATAAACCCTTCAGCATACAACATACAACATGTAGCCTACAACATACGTCCCACAGCATAAACCCTTCAGCATACAACATACAACATGTAGCCTACAACATACGTCCCACAGCATAAACCCTTCAACACACAACATACAACACGTAGCCTACAACATAAGTCCTGCAGCATAAACCCTTCAGCATACAACATACAATATGTAGCCTACAAGATACGTCCTACAGCATACACCCTTCAACACACAACATGTAGCCTACAACATACGTCCTACAGCATAAACCCTTCATCACACAACATGTAGCCTACAACATACGCCCCACAGCATAAACCCTTCAACACACAACATGTAGCCTACAACATACGTCCCACAGCATAAACCCTTCACACACAACATATAGCCTACAACATACGTTCTACAGCATAAACCCTCAAACACACAACATGTAGCCTACAACATACGTCCTACAGCATACACCCTTCAACACACAACATATAGCCTACAACATACGTCCCACAGCATAAACCCTTCAACACACAACATATAGCCTACAACATACGTCCCACAGCATAAACACTTCATCACACAACATGTAGCCTACAACATACGTCCCACAGCATAAACCCTTCATCGCACAACATGTAGCCTACAACATACGTCCCACAGCATAAACCCTTCATCACACAACATGTAGCCTACAACATACGTCCCACAGCATAAACCCTTCATCACACAACATGTAGCCTACAACATACGTCCCACAGCATAAACCCTTCATCACACAACATCTTGCCTACAACATAAGTCCCACAGCATAAACCCTTCATCACATTACATATATCCTACAACATAAGTCCCACAGCATAAACCCTTCATCACACTACATGTAGCCTACAACATACGTCCCACAGCATACACCCTTCATCACACTACATATAACCTACAACATACGTCCTACAGCATAAACCCTTCATCACACAACATATAGCCTCCAACATACGTCCCACAGCATAAACCCTTCATCACGCTACATATAGCCTACAACATACGACCCACAGCATAAACCCTTCATCACACAACATATATCCTACAACATACGTCCCACAGCATAAACCCTTCATCACACAACATATAGCCTACAATGCATAAATAATACATAAAATAATGTATAGTAATTAGTAATAATAGCAATCTACTGACAACAGCATACACGATGTATAGTATCTCAGTTAATAGAATGAGTTAGACAGGCATTACGTTCTGGTTGAGATGGAATTTCTTGAAACTCAGCTCCCGTTGGCAATTCAACACATTTCTTATCGACACAGTCCTCCCTGATAACGCTCCCCAGGGAGTAGCACTTGTCCTCCACTCTGCATGCTGAAAATGAAGTGAATGAATGAGTGGCTGAATGATATTTTACTCCGCAGTTTGAAAATGTTCAAGTATTCCACAGAGGCGTGAAAATAATGCAATCGATCCAGCCAAACCAGTGAAGGACACATCCCCGAGATTCCACGCCGTCGGGGTACGATGACACGCTCAGTCATGTCACACAGAACTAAAAACACCCAAACCCCATTTAAGTCGGCTCTTGCGACTAGCCTGGTGAACTGGGGACATATTTTATCCAGGATTCCCCACAGTGTGTGTTGCTGTGTTTACACGCGTTGTCCCGTTCTTAACTGTGAAGTTACCAATGTCTCACGACCTGCAATGTGAGGTGAGGTGAAATTGGGTTTAACGTCGCGTCCAAGATTATTGCGATTATATAGCGATGTGGATGCACGTGTGTGTGTGTGGCTGCTTGTACTAGTCCGGACTGATGCCGATTTATAGTACTAGCTCACTGAGATACCATGCTGCAGTTTAACATGAATACTGACTCCGAGCCGACCAGTCCTTGTTTTAGCCCCTTAATGCCGAGCGCCAGACAGGGTAACAACAAGTACCATCTTTTAACGTCTTTTGGTATAACGCGGCCGGGGATCGAACCCTGGACCTTCCGCTCTCCGGGCGTACGCTCTTCCACAAGACCACGGAGGCGGTCTACCGACGTACAATGACGGCCGTGTCGTATATACTGGTTACCGGCTGTATATGTGTTGCGTCATCTTTATTACAAGTGGAAATGGGGTCTGATTACACTCTGACGAATCTAGGTCGAGGTGTTGCCGACAACTATCTTATGATTTCTGTTTTTTAAATCCCAAAAGCTTCGTATAAGCGAACAAATGCTGTATTTTAAATGTATTTTTTCGTAACAGTAAGGAAAACTGCTACATGCATTTCAGAAAGCCATGTATTCCCGATGTCACTTCCAGCTTCCTACATTGAATTGCATGTTTGTGCATTGTGTCTTCCATAAATGGGCAGAAAGATCCAAATTGCATCAGCTAGGATGTCGCTGTGGTTATATTAGGTTTCCGTTTACAACGAAACTAACATTCGGGAACATCGAATCTTTCAGTTTCACAATCTGAGCGGACTGTTTGTGTATATAGTTCCCGCCAGAAGCCCATGATCGTGGTTTCGAATCCCGGTTCGCCCCCAATATGTTTCTAGGTTTGTCAGCACCATACCCGTGCTCGTGGGTTTCACCAAAGTGGTAAATGTCGGAGACCTGCATCACTTCGGGTTTTACTCCCACATCAAGCTGAAACGCCGCGACATACCTGGAATACCGTTCGACGCAGCGTTAAATCCAACTCACTCACTCTTTGGAAATTACCTATGTCGGTGAGAGAGATATTTTTCAGTCATTAAACTTCTCTCAAAAGAGGAGATAAAATGTTTTGTTTTTTAACAACACATTATTTGCCAGGACACCCAGAATAAATGTTGGATGTAAAACCGGAGGCAAAATTATGTTTTCTATTATTTTTTTGAACATGTTATTTAAAAAATAATAACGGAATGGTCAGACCAAAATGACCAACAGATGTTTCTCAATATGATTTATTGATGGCAAATTTCAACTTGGTCAAGAAGATTTCGATCCTGTTGATAGAATCTAGGGTCGGAAATCCATATAACCATATAAATCTTATGGTGATTGATTGATCGATCATCAATTGATTAATGACAGGTTTTACTTTGCTTGACCTGCTTGTCTTGTGATGCAAAGCTAACTGTTCACGGACTGACTACCTCACTGTGAAAAGTGTGTCAAGAATGTAAACATATACAAGACATGTTTAGATCTAAACATGTTTAGGAATGTGTTTAAATCCTAATCGGAATACATATTTGGTGACTTGCATCTATAAACACGTTTAGGATCTTCATATATGAAATAGTGCTAGCTCACTGAGATACCATGCCACAGTTTAACTTGAATACCCCACTCAGACACAGTTTAACATGAATACCCCACTCAGACACAGTATACTGACTCCGAGCCGACCAGTCCTTGTTTTAGCCCCAGCTAAACACAAAATCCCCATAATCTAAACATGTTTAGAATTTAAGCAGGATATTTGTCAGTACAGATAAAGATGCATATATAATACCCTGGACTAATCAGGATGATAAACATGTCGACAAAGTAACACTTACCTTTGTTAAGAACAGGGTGTCCATTGGCGCCAGGGAGGCACTCGTTGCAATACGTGATGGTGTCGACATTCACACACTCGTTACTGACGTTGCACCCTGGGAACAGATTGATGACGTAATCAACGGGATGTAGCGGTAAATACGTCACCACAAAATGAATAATCTATTTCAGAAATATTTTTGCAATATTTCAGGTACACAATTATAATTTCATATTTGAAAAAAATAATATAGCTAATCTTCAACTTGTAACAGTTGAAAAAATTAATAAAACAATATTTATTTCTTCAACAAAATGAAAAACATCCTGAACGTATCCACACAACGATATCTAATTCCCAAATGGAGAGCGTAAAGTATGACCCGCTACTATAAAACCGTTGTAGTATAAACTGGTTCCTGGTTGTATATGCGACGCGTCACTTTTAATTTTAGAAACGGTTCCTTACATATCCTATTTTCAGTATGCAGCCAGTTGGGATTTCCGTTTCACACCCGATTGCTTCGCACAAGGTGGAACAATACATGCCACATTTCATATATGTTTTTACATAAAATACATAGAAATCCTCAATTCAATGCATAAATGTCGGGTTATCCGTACTTCGAGATAAACGAAGTGAAAGAACATCGAGATGTGAAGTTCGAATTAACAAGGTTTCATTCTGCAATACTTTGAAATCTGATCCTACATTTTAACGCCCACACTACCATTATGTTAGACATTAAAAGTGAAGGAGATCTCATAAAAGCTTTTGACTTCGACATATCAAGATTGAGCTGCTCGCGTGTTTCTCAATATAACGATGAAATCAACATGAAACATATTTATGTTGAAAGAATACAAAGGGAAGGTATTGTATCAAGTGTCACGGTCGACGACGTCGTAGCGTTGCATGACCGGCGTGGCGTCTCCGGCGTGGTCACTACACAATGCAGTGTAACGCTCTGTCAGTTCGTTTGTCTTCCCTTGTGTTGCGCACTTAAGTGCATTGATTGTCACACACCAGCTTTACTTTACTACTGGATACTGATTGATTTCAACCCGTGTTGACAAATAACTATCGAATAACCATTTCTTGTTTGTTTAATGTATAGCCACCATCAAACATGGGTGCATATATAATCTTTTGCCAGGCAGTTTATAATACAAGGACATCATTCATATTCCTGCGTTGTATCTGCAGTTGTTAAATTATGCAAACCTTATTTATTATTTTTTACAGGAAATTGTGAAGATTGAACAGTCAAGTAACATATAAATAGTTGATAATGTTTGTTCGAAAAATCAACACGCAGCATGTTTTTTTGTAGCCCGACTGCATGTGACATGCTCATGATATCAACCACTGGTTTGTCTCGTTCAGACTCGGTTATTTATGGGTCGCCGTCATATAGCTGGAATATTGCTGAGTGGGGCGTAAAACAACAAACAAGAAGTACTTCCTTTCATGAACCCATCGGGTCTCCCTTCCACCATACCAGCCACCCGCGTGTAAAACCGGAGGAAACGCTACCGAGAGGGTGAAAGGTCACGTTTACGAGGGTGTGAGTAGAATTTAAGTTATAGAACTCAAATGAAGTTAAGGGACACCGGATGTTCTCATGCGACTACAGTTAATCTGTCATTGCCATGAACAGATCGGGTGTTCCTTAACTTCTTTTGATAAGTATATACCACCACGTGTCAGCTTATTGTTGGAGGGCGACCTTAATTGTCGCAGGCCTTAGACATTTTCCACCTCGGTGAAACCAAAGAACAAGGGTATGGTGTTGACAAATCAAGAATCATGATCAGAAGGACTCACTGAGTTCGTTACCCGTTAACATCCGGGGTAGAATAGGTCTTCAGCAACCCATGCTTGCTGTAAGAGGCGACTATGCTTGTCGTAATAGGCGACTAACGCGATCGGGTGGTCAGGCTCGCCGACTTGGTTGATGCATGTCATCGATCCCAATTTAGATCGATTCTCATGTTGTCAATCACCGGAATGCCTGATCCAGACTTGATTATTTACAAACCTTATTTCATTTAGCTGGAATATTTCTGAGTGCAGTGTTAAACAACAAACAAACAAAACAAACACTAGGTTCGTTTGATTATTAAAATTTCAGTGACCTGAGTCAACCGAGGGTACCACATTTCTGGCAACCAGGGTATTCACGATTCAAGGATAATTAAGAGCAGTGCCCGAAATAAAACGCATAAAATGCAACTTGTGATATAATAGCGGCTGCCAGGAGGTTGGTTTGGGTTTTTTTGTTTAACGCCGTACTCAGCAATATTCCAGCTATATGACTGTGGTCTGTAAATAATCGAGTCTGGACCAGACAATCCAGTGATTGATATCATGAGCATCGATCCTCGCAATAAGGGATTGACGACATGCATCAACTAAGTCAGCGAGCCTGACCACCCGATCCTGTTAGTCGCCTTTTAACGACAAGCATTGTCGCGTTTTACGGCAAGCATGGGTTGCTGAAGACCTATTCTACCCCCGCTGCTAAACTAATGTCCAAAAGAAACGATACCACGTGTTTGAAAGGACATTACCAAAAAACTAAACGATACAGGCATTTAAAATTGGTATATGACTTGTGAGTAATGTTTTCACAGTATGTGTACACAAATTCATTGTAATCAATCCTTTACAATCATGAGGACAGACATGTAAAGACGCGGGGGGTCCAAAATGAAAATTTCATTTGAACACAGTTGATGAGTCAAGTGTGGAAAATGTCACAACACACGTCTCAAAGCCACGTTAGTACCGGGTATGTCCAACGTAAGTGTCAATACACGCTAGTACACGTCTACGAGCTGATGACGTCAGACGTCTGATGATGTTGGGGGGGGGGGGGGGGGGGATACGTTGCCATTCATGGAGGAGGCATTGTTCCTGTTCCTGGAGGTTAACTGGAGGCACAGGGCGATTCCTGACTTTGCGGCCGCGAATGTCCCACATGTGTTCGATTGGGTTCATGTCCGGTGAACATCCTGTACACGGTTTGTCGACTTATCACGTGTCCCAGTGCCGTTCGTGCCGTTAACGTCGCCGTTACGAAGCGGTTCCGAAGGTGAAGTTCCCGTATGTGGCGGTCTTCAATAGGCGTGGTCACCCGTGGTCTACCGGTTCTCGGCCTGTCTGCTGTCCGACCTGTTTGACGCAACCGCTGCATTAACCTGGTGACGGTTATGCGTGCGCATCCTAACCTTCTGGCGACGTCGCGGTGCGTAGCTCCCTGTTGGAGCATTCCTACGGCTCTCTCTCTCTCAATCGCTGTCAAACGTGGCATTTCTTTTGTGTGCTTTTTGTTGCTGTGATCCCAACGTGTCGGGTCAGCAGTTTTATACAGAAGATATGCACGTGCATTTCGTGTTACGGGACGGAACGTCATTTGGGCAAATTGCACGCTTTTTTCTCAATTGATCAAATGTTCCCGGTTTTATCGACCGAATACGTTTGGTTTGGAACGTAGGATACGAAAAAGTACCTTTTCAGACGAAAATTAACTCTTCATAATAAAATATTTAGAAAAATGTGTGGTATCGTTTCTTTTGGACATTAGTTTAGAAGGAGCAGAATAACATCAGCTATGTGCATTGCTATAACACACGACTAGGAGATGTTAACAAGTGTTTCATTGCTTAACAAAGCTGCCATTGTGCCTTTGCTATTTTATGCATGTAAAAGAACAAGCAAGTTCAAACAAACGCGTAGAATATCAGATATGCAAAATCATCAACGAAGTTGTATAATTGATTCTAAAGTGTTCATATCAATAATCGAAAATTAAATTTCCGGGAATCATTCAGAATACATATATACTGTCAATAAGTTCTTCATTATTATTCATTAAAATGCTCTTTTATCATGATTTAATCAGTATATGAAACTAATTGGTTTTATCGATGACGTCACCTGAAGGTCGTGAACCAAAGTACCTCACCCCAGGATTCAGTAGGTATGGGCAATCTAGGTCAACCGAAGTATGACGTAAATCAGTTAACATGAGTTAACATTGGTTAACCAAGCTTAACATGGGTTTTACCTTGGTCAACACGGGCTCACCCGAGCTCAAGGTTTTGAAATTGAACGCAACCTAGGATTTGAACCGACTCTCAGCGGATCATGACATGACGAAGGGACGCAACTCAGCGAGTCTCATATTTCTTAGCCACCCGTCCTTTAGCATAAGGAGAGCAGTTATTGTTGTTACATTTCAACACACGTGCAAGCGACCCATGTAAGCTTACTGGGGGTGGTGATTCGAATGAAGTGGTCGTCGTGTTCCATGACGCAGGTGTAGGTGGAGCAGTCTTTCTGGTAGGTCTCCCCCATGTCCAGGCAGTCAGCAGATGCGAGCGGGTTCGGACATCCTGAAATAGACAGGTGACGTGCAACTAACTTTGCAGCTGATTACGAGTCGCCTTTCTTCCACTCGTTTATCCTTGACACCTTTTAGTTCCCTTTTTAATGTTCTACAATTCATTTTATGGAATCAATTATTAAGTTGTTCCAGTAATAAAGAATTAGTGGTGTCACCAAAATGTTATCGGATGATGATATCTGGAAACAATTTAGAGTTATCGATATTGATTGATACACACACACACACACACGCACGCACGCACGCACGCACGCACGCACGCACGCACACACACACACACACACACGCATGCACGCACGCACACACAGGCACGCACGCACACACACACACACATCGGTAAATGCTACTAGTTACAGTAGCAGTGGTAGCAGTAGTAGTAACAGTAGCAGCAGCAGTAGTAGTAGTATAAGTAACAGTAGTAGCAGCAGTAGTAGTAGTAGTAGTAGAAGTAACAGTAGCAGTAGTAGCTGCAGCAGTGGTAGTGGAATTAGTGATAACGGTAAATGCTTGAAATTCCTTAGCATCCAAAATTCGATTTCAATCTTGAAATTGATAAAAAATGGTAAGAGGAAATAGCAACTACATGTTTCTTGTTTTGATGAATCACTGTAGTGTCATTGTAGTGAATCACTGTAGTGTCAATGTAGTGGATCACTTTAGTCTCATTGTAGTTGATCACTGTGGTGTTATTGTAGTTGACCACTGTAGTGTTATTGTAGTAGATCACTGGTGTGACATTGAAGTGGATCACTGTAGTGTCATTGTAGTGGATCACTGTAGTGTTATTGTAGTGGATCACTGGTGTGACATTGTAGTGGATCACTGTAGTCTCATTGTAGTGGATCACTGTAGTGTTATTGTAGTTGATCACTGGTGTGACATTGTAGTGGATCACTGTAGTGTCATTATAGTGGATCACTGTAGTGTTATTGTAGTGGTTCACTGGTGTGACATTGTAGTGAATCACTAGTGTTATTGTAGTGGAACACTGGTGTGACATTGTAGTGGGTCACTGTAGTGTTATTGTAGTAGATCACTGGTGTGACGTTGTAGTGGATCACTGTAGTGTCATTGTAGTCAATCCCTGTAGTGTTATTGTAGTTGATCACTGTAGTGTCATTGTAGTGGATCACTGTAGTGTTATTGTAGTGAATCACTGTAGTGTTATTGTAGTGGATCACTGTAGTGTCATTGTAGTGAATCAGTGTAGTGCCATTGTAGAGAATCAGTGTAGTGTTATTGTAGTGAATCACTGTAGTGTTATTGTAATGGATCACTGTAGTCTCATTGTAGTGAATCAGTGTAGTGCCATTGTAGTGAATCACTGTTGTGTCATTGTAGTGAATCACTGTAGTGTTATTGTAGTGAATCACTGTAGTGTTATTGTAGTGGATCACTGTAGTCTCATTGTAGTGAATCACTGTAGTGTTATTGTAGTGGATCACTGTAGTCTCATTGTAGTGAATCACTGTAGTGTTATTGTAGTGGAGCACTGTAGTGTCATTGTAGTGGATCACTGGTCTCATTGTAGTGAATCACTGTAGTGTCACTGTAGTGGATCACTGGTGTGTCATTGTAGTGGATCACTGTTGTGTTGCTGTAGCGGTACTTGTGACAGTTGTAGTAGTGGTAGTGGTTGAAGTGGTAAAAGTATTAGTATTAATAGTGGGTTTATTAATTTCCGTAGCAGAAATAGTAGAGTAGAGATGGATGTAGTAGAAGTGGTAATAGTAGAAGAAGTAGTAGTAGTAGTAGTAGTACTACTAGTAGTAGTAGTAGTAGTGTTGTTGTTGGTGGTTCTAGACGTATTAATAGTAGTAAAAATAGTAGTAGTAGTAGTAGTAGTAGTAGTAGTAGTAGAAGTAGTAGTAGAAGAAGTATTGACAGTAGTAGTAATAGTGAGTGAGTGAGTGAGTACGGTTTTACGCCGCTTTTAGCAATATTCCAGCAATATCACGGCGGGGGACACCAGAAATGGGCTTCACACATTGTACCCATAGTAGTAATAGTTGTAACAGTAGCAGTAGTAGTAGTAGTAGTAGCTGCAGCAGTAACTGTAGTTATCGTTGTATTATTATTATTATTAGTAGTAGTAGTAGTAGTAGTAGCTGCAGCACTAGTAGTAACTGTAGTTATCGTTGTAGTAGTAGTAGTAGTAGTATTAGTAGTAGTAGAAGTAGTAGTAGTAGTCGAAGAGACAGTAGTATCAGTAGTAGCAGCAGCAGCAAGACATTTACCTCCCCTCTCTAGAGCTGCGTGACCGTGGACACACCTGTATTTGAAGCACCCCACCTTGAACACCTCCTTGTCCTCGTGGTGGCGCCCATCAGCACCCTGACACCCGTCACTCACGTCTGGAGGTAACGCAGAGACATTAGCAGAAACATCTTTCAGCTAGAGCATATATTAGAAGTACGTTTCAGCCAATTATGTCAGTGTCTTGTTCGGATTGTTTTCCTGACGTAAGGACACGGAAACAAAGTTTTCCTTTTTAATGACGACATTAGTTGTGTTCTAAGACTGAAAGATGTTGACAGATTGTATTTGCGGGTGGTAATATATGTTAAAGTAATTAATCCCAATGATAGGATGTGGGTGAATTACAACGTATATAAGGTCAAAGTAAGTATCTAAATAGCTAAATATATGATTCCAACTAGTCTTATTTCTATTTACACTTGCAACTTTTGGAATTCTGACCTGATCAAATAAATAAATATGACTAAAATGAGTGAAAAAGGCAGATTTTTACAACTTTAAATAAGCTCTTTGAACATGTTTTTAACAAGTCAGTGACCCAGGATGATTTTTTTACCGTATGCTTGTATTGTTGTTATGCACATCCCCTCTAAAATCAGTCTTTATGCCACATTGTATACTTACCTATACATTTAGTGTTGTCATAAGTCATAAATCACTGAGATGAGCAATTTCTCGTTCACATTCATATGAACACATTTGATAACATGCAAAACAATTGCTAAAGGTATTGCTCAATTCTTAATTTATGCAGATCTTGTGGGTATAAAAGTGTCCTTAAACTACCCTGTCCATTCATCAGTGACGGTAACCTCTAGTGTAACGTTCTACGCATGATCGATAATCGGGAAAACATATTTAACGTGGTTATGAACTCTGAATATGTTTAGAAAAGCAGTACTTACCTCTTCTCACTCTGTGTCCTGATAAAGAGACGATAACGACACACAGAGTCACCGCCTTATAAAAATGTGGCGACATCGCCTACGAAGCATATTTTGAAAAAAGATTAAATATTGAGCGAATACGTTGTATACCAAAAATGAAACATTTCAGTTGATAGGTGCTATCTATTTCACACTGTAGACATTATTAGTTTTGTATAGTGGAATAATTATCCTGCATCACTGACCTATATCCTTTACATTCTGAGCCAAAAAGTTCGGGATCGTGAATATTTTCGGGGATTTTTGTTGTCGTGAAAACTGATCACACAATTTCATAAAATTATCCTAAACTATATTCAAGATCCTACACGTTATTTTGTTCAGTATGCAATGTATATCATATTGAATGGGAATAATTTTTAATATCACTAATGCTTATAATGTAGGGTTCTATTCTCTTACAGACAAAATCCCGTATTTGATCAAAATCCTTTATTCCCTTTATTTGGTCATTTTAATGTGGAGAGAAACATGGCACAGATATTTCGTTGAATACAGTTCTCTACATAGCCATGTAATATATGTGACTAGTGACATTTATATGAAAGCTTTACTTACTGTGGTGACCGGACAACTTCAGTTTCAATAATGAAACTTGCAACCAAGGCTTAAATCTATCGACTGATTTCTGGCAACAGGTGTTCTTTGTGTTCAGTAATAAAATCTTAATTCGCTTGCGATCTTCCCATGAACGTCGCAAGGTTTAGCCAAGGTTTGAACCACCAGTCAATACCTCTCGCGATCACAAGGACACCAACTGGTGAGCATGCCATCGATTCATCTCTAGGCCCGGTGACTCAACGAACAATATAATAGAAAAAGAAATGTATATATATCATGGATATATAATAAACTATTGACTTAATTTTATTATCACATGCTACGCGAGGTGTGAAAGAGTAATAAATTCCTGACGCCTATTTAATCCCTTTCTCTCCTGATAAAGAAATAGAGGTAAATATACATGCATTTGCATGCATATACATATAACAACTCTATAGAACATGTAACACGAGGCACTATGAACTAGCGTATATATATATAAATAAAAAAACCTGACATGCAGAATTTAAAACTGCTGCTTAGTGTGTTAATTTAATAAAAAATTGAAATAAAAATAAAAAATTAGATCGACATTATGAAATAAAATATGTAACTATCGCAAATGTTGAATTCATAAAATGCTGCTGCAATATAAGATTAATAAATTAAATTCTGAAAGGGTTTATTTTTTAATTGGCACATGTATGACACAAATGACATTCAATCAAAAGATCACCGTCGGTTCCAAACAACAACAACAACAACAAAAGAAAACCTGAAACCACATGTTTATTAGAAGCATTGTAAATATTGCTTTTTATCCAACAATATACATATTAATATGGCAGAATATGAAAGTCATTTCTTTACCTAATGTAACTTTTATGATAACTTTATGTTAATCTTTTTCAATGCTTAATTAGTTGCATCATTAATTTTGTACAATCCTTTGTTTTAATATTTTAATGATGAAAATTCTTTTCCTTATTGTTTTGTTGTTTGTAATGCTGTCGCCTTATAGATATCTTAAACCAACTAGGTACGAATACAAGTGGAAAACAGTTGAGACAGTTCTGAATGTTATTAATTCATTGTATTAATATTCATCAGTATTTCACACTCAACATGGCCACATTGCAAACATCAGCGTTGATGTTGATGAAGAGCTGTACTTGAAGCGTACGTAAAATAATCTACTAATGCACGCATGTACTGCAGGCACACTGAACATTCATGAGCGAGTTTGTTTTAAAGGCAGATCTCACGCATACTTTTTGTTAATTAGCACTTCTTTTCAAAAATGAAATATAAAGTGCCCCGTAGATATATCTTCGTTAAAAATATTATATTTTGAAAAGTGTCAAAATATTTTTTATTCTCCACTGTTTTTTCTCTGTCAACTTTAAGTAAAAACTCCTAAACGGTATTTCAGTTCTATCATAGTGTGTCATCGTAATACGGGCGGAATGTCCGTGTGGTACAGGACCCACACGTTCACCACACTTTTTCTTTGTTTCGCCAAATCTACATAACACTCGACCCGTGTTAGAATAGGTCTTCAGCAACCAATACTTGTCGCGACAGGCGCCTATGCTTGTTGTAGGAGGCGACTAACAGGATCGGGTGGTCAGGCTCGCTGACTTGGTTGATGCATGCCATCGTATCCCAATTGCGTGGATCGGTGCTCATGATGTCAGTCACTGGATTGTCTGGTCCAGACCCGATTATTTACAGACCGCCGTCATATAGCAGGAATATCTCTGAGTGCGACGTTAAACAACAAACAAACAAACAAACAAAGGAAAACATAACACTCGGTCTTGTTAATGTATGTTCAATCCAACTGAGAAATACGCCGTTATTCATGATTAAATAAAACGCGTGTAAAAATAATAATTGCGTATATATTGCCGGGACATAGTGATATATATCTCTCCTTGTTCCTGGAATACACTTAGGCAAGGGGCTGACATTTGCTGCGCCGAGAGTTGTCTCCCTTAGTCGTTCCAAGATCCGCTGATCGCGGTTTCCACTGCCCGATTCGCCCCGATCTCTTGTTTGTTGCAGCTTAACCACGGAATCTGCATCACTTTGTGCTTGCATCCTGTATTAAGCTGACACGTCGTGATATAACTGGACGTCAGAGACGATGACGGTTTGGCCCAGGCCCCCAGCAGTCTATGGTTCTCTAAAGAGGCAACCAAATGGATGGGCTGATCAGGCTCGGTGATTGGTTAACGTTGATGGCATGCCTGGTACCCTGATGATTTAGATCGCTGCTCACAATATCGATCACTTGATTGTCTGGTCCAGACTCAATCATTTACAGGGCGCCGTCACCTAGCGTTGATATTGATATTGAGTGCGGCGTTAAGCAACATACAAATTAACAATAATACATGTATAACTGAAATTCGGGGCGGTAATCACAGCACCGCCATTCTACATTCAGCTTCGGCTTCAAAACGTGTCGGTTTGAATGCTATGGAGGTTTATATGCTCCCTAAAATATTCTTTGATATAGACCTTTTTAGAAACTACTAAAAATGATGTGAAGCCCATTTCTGGTGTCCCCCGCAGTGATATTGCTGGAATATTGCTAAAAGCGGTGTAAAACCATACACACTCACTCACTCACTAAAAATGAAAACTGGAATTTCAAAGTGACACAATGGAACGTTTGTCACCATATTGAGGTTCTGACCCCTCGATCTGTGGACGTGTGCCACGTTCAGGGTTGACCACACCACTTGACCAACCAACTTGACCACGTGTCAAAATTCCTCTTCACTTATCAATTAATTACTTCCCCCAGAACTATTCATCATTAGCGTGAATACCCGTGTTAACCTCACACGACACGGAGGTCACAACTCTGACCTTGAAATGTGGCCCATGTCTGCTGCCACACGCATCAACAAAGAATCAAGACGTTATTGGCGTTAAGCAGAACCAACGCTTATTGATACTGACGTTCCCCCAAAACAGTGATGCACAAGTCCCAAATGATTCATGCTTCCAATGTGTGCTATACACTCCGTATCTGAATTTCTGCCCTGAGAGCGGAAGGTCGGTGGTTTGATCCCCGGCCATGTCATGACAAGGATGGTATTTAGTGTTACGCTGCCCGGCGCTCGGCATTAGGGGACTCAAACAAGGACTTGTGGGCTCGAAGTCAGCATACTGTGTCTGAGTGTAGTACCCGTGTAAAATTGCGGGCTAGCTCTATATCAAACAAGCACCACGCCCTCTCCTGCGTGTATCTACCACTCCCTCTCCTGTGTGTATCTACCACGCCCTCTCCTGTGTGTATCTACCACGCTCTCTCCTGTGTGTATCTACCACACCCTCTCCTGTGTGTATCTACCACGCCCTCTCCTGTGTGTATCTACCACGCTCTCTCCTGTGTGTATCTACCACACCCTCTCCTGTGTGTATCTACCACGCCCTCTCCTGTGTGTATCTACCACGCTCTCTCCTGTGTGTATCTACCACACCCTCTCCTGTGTGTATCTACCACGCTCTCTCCTGTGTGTATCTACCACGCTCTCTCCTGTGTGTATCTACCACACCCTCTCCTGTGTGTATCTACCACGCCCTCTCCTGTGTGTATCTACCACGCTCTCTCCTGTGTGTATCTACCACACCCTCTCCTGTGTGTATCTACCACTACCTCTCCTGTGTGTATCTACCACACCCTCTCCTGTGTGTATCTACCACGCTCTCTCCTGTGTGTATCTACCACGCCCTCTCCTGTGTGTATCTACCACGTCCCCTCCTGTGTGTATCTACCACACCCTCTCCTGTGTGTATCTACCACGTCCCCTCCTGTGTGTATCTACCACACCCTCTCCTGTGTGTATCTACCACACCCTCTCCTGTGTGTATCTACCACACCCTCTCCTATGTGTATCTACCACGCTCTCTCTTGTCTTGTATTATCCTTATCTACTTTCTACTGCGGTACCTAATCTCAATCCCGTTTCTACCCATACACCTAATTAAATCCTATTGTTCCTGAGTGACTCACCCACGAAGTAACTTTGACCCCTTCCTACCGCTGCCCAGATCCCGCCACCCTTTTACGTCTAATGTCCCTGTGTGTCACGGAGGGGGTCAGCCAGGATGACCCACCCTCATCACTCAACCATCACCTCCCCAGCACGTACAGAATGGCACTCTGGTGCAGGCAGAGCGTGATTGTCTCGAGTATAGTCAACAAATGCTATACTATGCTCCAGACTACTTAAAGCTGCAATATGCCTGAGTATAAAGTACAGCTTATACTCACTCCCTAACAGAAAGGTTGATAAACAGAGAAATATCAGAGCGTCAATTTGCAATAACCAAGGCTCATGGAAGCGCACATAAATGATTTTGGATTTGCCTGTATTTGGAGCCTATTCGTGTGTGTGTGAGTGCATGCGTGCGTGCGTGCGTGCGCGCGTATGTTGGTGCGTGTGCATGTGCGTGTGCGTGTGTGTGTGGGTCTGGCAATAGTCCAGCTGTATGAAGGCAGCCTGTATATAATCGAGCAACGACCACGCCGTCGGTTTTAGTTTGGTTTGTTGTTTAACGCCGCACTCAGCAATATTCCAGTTATATGACGGCGGTCTGTAAATAATCGAGTCTGGACCAGACAATCCAGTGATTGACAACATGAGCATCGATCCACGCAATTGGGACCGATGACATGCATCAACCAAGTCACCGAGCCTGACCACCCGATCCCGTTAGTCGCCTTTGACGACAAGCATAGTTGACTTTTACGGCAAGCATGGGTTGCTGAAGACCTATTCTACCCCGGATCCACGCCGTCAGGGTACGTTGACACGTTATGAACAAAGTCACGGAAACCGACCACCCGATCCATTTAGTCGTCAGGTATGACAATCATAGACTTCTGCAGAACTTTTCATTAATAAATTGTAAACCATGCAGAAAGACTATGGGTACTTAATGGGACAGACCGCCTCCGTGGTCCAGAAGGTCGGGGGTTCGATCCCCGGCTGTGTCATTCCATAATATTAAAACGATGGTACTTGTTGTTACCCTGGCGTTTGCATTGAGGGTCAAAAACAAGGACTGGTCGGCTCGGAGTCAGTATACTGTGTCTGAGTGGGGTATTCATGGTAAACTGCG